GGATCGAACACACGACCTCCAGGCTAGCGAGCCAGCGTCTTAACCACTTAGCCACCGTGATCCCCGACATGTCTTCTATTCACTTAATTCATTAAATATTCGATTATATGTTAATAATTCCATACGCTGATGAAATAATAATTTTCGGTCAAAATTAGATTTCAAGATAACTTAATCTCTGAGTTCTCTCCTAACTTCAATTTAAATGGGAAGATTCGTCTGAATTGGTGAATACTTTGTAATGTAAAGTCAGCTGGCAGGGTTTCGATTTCCCGGTTGTACGTGACAAGGAGTAGGGTCGACTGTCCAGCCTCGTGGGTTTTCTCCGGGTCATCCGGTTTAATCCCACTGCTAAAGACCCCTACGGGCAAGCGAATTATTGAAATAAAATTGAACCATGTGTTAGTCCCGAAATGACGTAGTTTCTGTCGAGTGGACGTTAAACCCCATCTCTCTCTCTCTCTCGTGATGTAAACATGTCCGACTAAACATGTCCGAAAAAAAAAAGAAAAAGAAACATTGCCGATCAGTGGTGATAGCCAAAGTGTCTTTTAATAAATCTAACTGATCGGCAATGTTTCTTTTTCTTCATATTGGACCACATTGAAGTTGCTGTATTCACGGACGGGAATAGCAGGAAAACGCGTTTGCGGCTGTCAAGTTTTCCAAACTTTCTTGGGAAGGCCCCGACACGGTAAGCCTCGAGATTTCGGCCCTCGCCGGGCCCATACGCATTTGATAGTATTCTAATCAAGTTTATTCATTTTAGCTCATTTTAACTGGAAATAAATATATATCCAGCTCTTGTCGTTTCAAGACAGAGAAACTAGGACACGTTTGCTGATCTCTAATGAACAAAAATAGACCGACCCAGTTGTAAAATATTGCTGACGCGTGTGACTTATTAAAATGTGGGAAAATATATTAAAAGATTAGATTTCCCGAACTATTTATTTTTATATAACATACCATTTGCGGTAGTGTAAAGCCTTACAGAATACATAATGGTATTGGCTTATAATATCTATTTTATTTTTTTTATTTTTTAAAACATTATTTTAGTCAGAAATTGAAAGGGATTGAGGAACAGGCATAACCTGTATGACCTCTCTCCTAAATACAAGAATTAATATGGATATGTAAAAAAAAATAAGAGAATAAACAACAAAACAATAAAATGAATTTTGCATATACATATTTACACATTGGCCACGCAGTTGTTCATGTTCGCATTTTGATCGATATAGATGTTACACTGATCTTAAAACCTTCTCCTACTGTCAAAAAACAGGTAGACCTTTTCAAAGATGGCTATTTTATTATTTTATCGCAAAAAAAATATCGCATTCCTATCCCCTCCCCTTCTCGCCTTCTCCAATTCCCTGTTGGGAACAGCTTTAGCCGAATTTAATAATACAATGAATACGTGATCCACAACATTTTGTATATACATATTTACACATTTGCCACGCAGTTGTTCATGTTCGCATTTTGATCGATATAGATATTACACTGATCTTAAAAGCTTCTGCTACTGTCAAAAAACAGGTAGACCTTTTCAAAGATGGCTATTTTATTATTTTATCGCAAAAAAATAAAAATATCGCATTCCTATCCCCCCCCCACCCCTTCTCACCCTCCCCTCTTCCCTGTTGGGAACAGCTTTAGCCGAATTTAGCTGTTAGAGGTTTGACCTTTCAAACACAAAAATCATGCGTCGTGATTAAAATAAAGTTATGTCTTTCTAGAGATTAGAAGAATGAAACTTTATCCGTCTGAGATTTTAGATGATCAATAACAGGATCAATATATTGGAAAGTTAAGGCCGGATCATTTGTCCTAAAATCCACTTGAAAAGTCTCCAACGTCAAATAAACTATCAACCAATAGGCCTTCAATAAACAATTCATCAGCAGGACAGTAAAAGGCGAGCGCGTGACTCTATTGTATTACTGCGCCGATTAGAGCGCGGGGCGCACGAGCGGGTCATTGTGTAAGAAATGCTAGCAGTCTTGTTAGGTCTGATAAAAGTTAGGAAATGTCAATTTATTTTCCAATCTCTTTACTCAGAACAAACTGTAAAGAGAAATTAACTTGATAGGTCACTTCAGTTCTTCACATATAAAAGGGTTCCTTCAAGGGGACAGAATCGGCGACTTGCGAGTAGTTTGTTCTCACTGCCTGACAATATGGACCCCAATTAAAACCACACTTCTTCAAATTATCAAGTATCTTAGACCGTCTTCGTTTCGTTATTTTTGCGGTTTTTCACCGCTAACGGTTTCAATTCTAAAGCTAACTGACGTGTGGTTTTGCCAATTAAAAGCCAGGAATTGCCACAAGTCGAATCGCCAAGTGGGTACGCTATAAAGTTAATTGTGGTTATTGAAGGTTGTCAGTTGAGATTGTTGGTTTTTGAGAAAATCATTTCTAGTAATGAATACAGAAAGACAAATTGCCAAGAATTAGACTGGTATAAATCGGAATGAAATGTCAAATATGCAATGGCAAAAAATATAATTTATAAAGACAAATTATTAGCAAAATGAATTAAAGGGCGTTTGGTCTACTGAAGTGAGCGTCCAATTATATATATTTGTTTTTTTTTAAATACCTGATATACCTAAATATGCCTACCCACAACCAGAGGAATTGAATGAAATCTATGTAGTCCAAAATTAAAAAAAGTTCTGGATAGAAGAGGGAGAGAGATGGGGGTTTAACGCCCACTTGACACAAACTTGATCATTTCGGGACTAACATACATCTGGTTCAATTTTATGTCAATAGGAGTCTTTAGCAGTGGGATGAAACCGTAGGACCCGGAAAAAACACACGATATTGGACGGGCGACCCTACTCCTTGCCACTTACAACCGGGGAATCGAAACCATGCCAGTTGACTAAATGACTGACCTTAGGATACAACGCGTTCGCGCTAACCACTCGGCCATTAAGAATGAAAAGTATACGATCGAAGGCCTACCATACCCATGTCATTGATAGACTTACTAAACGTCTAGTTAGAGGTTTGTTTTGATAGGAATACAGTTTGGTGGTGGTGGTAGTGGGGGGGGGGGGCGTTGTAACAAAACACAAACCAATTATATTTGATTTACCCTTGCTAGATCATAAAAGATAGGTTGCCAGGCAACGAAACATACGCACACAGTAGTTAAGTCGTCCATACGCCCATAAGGGCTGTCGCATATTTATTGTTTTGTAAGTAATGGGCGCATTTAAAAGACGCTAAAACCTGATCAAGAGCAACAACCCTTTAAATTATTATCAGAAATGATTTAAATTTGATTGGCTACTAGATCTTAAAGATGCTAACATTTATTATACAAAAAATGTACTTAACGGTGTATTAAATTCTAATTAATAGCAAAAAAAAAACTGCCAGAGAAAGAACAATATTTTAAAAAAGTGATCAAGGGTAATAATCACCGAAAGTAATTCTAGACTTCTTCATTTCTTGAACATAAACACGGTGTTCAAAAATGACGGAACTAAAAAAATAAGTTAATAATCTTGAGCATTTACACGATTGTTAGCAAGTGCGATAACTATAGCAGTACTTATCAAGGAAATAAATTTTAAGTCAATCGGGTGATAAATTTAGCTTGTAGAGCATCGACACAATTGTAAATAGAGACCAAGGGTAATAACCAAGGGGAATCACAGAACATCAATAAGCATCTTCGTCCCATGATCATACACACTGTGTATAAAATAAAAGTCAAATGAATGATAACTTTCGCCTCTTGTGTGTCCACGGGATTTTTCAAAGAGAACAAGGGACATAATAACTTTCGCAGCAGTTATTTGAAGTCATTTGTGTGAAAACTGTAGCCCTGAGAGCGTCAACAAGGATCATACTCTGGCAGAAAATCGCCGAAAATCACTGTGTGTAAATCTGAAGTCAATCTGATGACAAAGATTTTTCAAAGGGATCAAGGGCTATAACTAAAACAGTAGGCCCTAATTATTGGAAATCACTGAAAATCCATGGGATTCTTTGTTTCATGACCATAAACACTATGTATAACGTAAAGTCAATCGAATGATAATTGTATAGCGTCTATAGGGCGTCAACAAGATTTTTGAACGTGTTCAAGGGCTACAACTCTGGCAGTAATGACCATATAAACATTGCGTATAAATTTAGAATCAATTGGATGATAACTTTAGCCTATAGAGCGTCCACAAACAATTATGGACGCCGGACGGACGGGCGGGATAACGACAATGTACGATCACATTTCATTATAGGCGTATAGAAAAGGAAGTTTACCATTCTGACAGACTTATACCGGGAGTTGGATGGCCGAATGGTTAGCACGTGCCCGCTGTATCAAGGCCTGTCATTGAGTCAACTGGCGTGGTTTCGATTCGACAAGGAGTAGGGTCGCCTGTCCAACCTCGTGGGGTTTTCTCCGGGTCATCCGGTTTCCTCCCACTGCTAAAGAATCCTACGCGCAAGCGAATTATTGAAATAAAATTAAACCATATGTTAATCCCGAAATGACCTAGTTTGTGTCGAGTGGACGTTAAACCCCATTTCTCTCTCTCTGTCTCTATTTAATATACGGTAACAAATATTTTGTAACTGCAGCATACTGGGAAGGAGGGGCGCAGGCTAATTATAGCGAGGTATTGTAGGATAGGGGTTAATTAGCGAGGTAATATAAATCAATAAAGGACAAATCAATGTATATAGCATTTCATGTAATATGTCAGGAATGTTGTAAAATATCGAATATCGCTGGGTGTGTGAGTGGGGTGGGGGAACTGCAGTACATGTGTATGTCCACGACTGACTTTTAGACAATCAATAAAAAAAAAGAGTTATAGTTCGTAATTATTTAATAAACATTTCATTACTATATCAACCACATTTAATGAAAACCACGGCGCTGTTGAAGCAATGTATTGAAATTCGTAAAAGAGATGATATTATTAGTGACGTTGGCTTTATCCAGGTCCTTTGTTTAGTCGAGCTCATACAAGGGGAGATAACTCACAGAGCAATCGAAAACGTACTGAAAATTTGTAAGACTTTTGTGTTCTTCAGTTTAATCTTTATATATTATTAATGATGTCATGAAACTGTAAATGCTGTGCGCAAGATTTACATAAAGCGACTGCATTTTTTTTTAATGTTGTGAACTTTTGAATATTTTCATTACAGCGAATTAGAATGAAAGATGGGACGTCGTTCAGTTGACGAATACGATGATAAAAAATCAAAGAAGAAGAAGAAAAGACGTTCTAGATCAAAATCAAGGTGGGTGTATATTTTATAGTATCTTTTTAGAACTTTAATAATATTATATCGTTATGACTACAGACAGTAAAAGTAAGTAAAGGTGAACTAGATGATGATCAATGTATCTTTTACAATACCACTACTATCACTATTAGAAATGGTTCCACTACTCTGATGTCTTCCGTCTTGTCTTGCTCAAGCCACAGTAGTACTAGTGGATCGTCCTAAGGAATTCCTTTGAGCATGTTTTGTAGTCATTTGACTACAAAAAAGTTACTGGTCTATACCTCCCTTAATTTCCAATTACACAGATCCAAACTACTGCACATACAACATATAATACACCAATTCCCATTGAAATAAAGGTGAAACCTTACCGCATAATTATATGATTTGTTAAACCCAGAACCAGAATCACGTAATTTTACATCACTCGATAAATACAGAAAAAATTAGGTAAGATAAGATTAAGATTTCAGTGTTCCACTCTTCACATCTGTAACATTATTACTTATTTCCATTCAAACTGTGATGATATGTGTTGAAAATTTGCAACTTAAAATTTAACATGCGCAAAGCCTCAAATAGTGTATCAATTGTTGCCGCGGATAAGACAGATTGTGGGTAGGCCTACAATATTGTAGTAGCTAGATTAGCGCGTGCGCCGTGTATCATTAGGTCTGTCGTTGAGTTAACTGGCAGTCTTTATGTTTAAGGTGATCTTTCACTCCTGCTCCTCTTGACGCACCTCAACTTACTTCGCGGGAGTCAATGAAGACTCCTGCAAATTAGTTATTCACTCTCCTAAATGTTGAGATTAATAAACTACTTGCATTTTTTGTTTATTTCTAAACTGCATACATTCGAGCTGTAAGATATCATGATGATAATTCTGATGCTACCATATTTACCAAACATATTCACCAAATATAAAGCATAAATACAATTTGGCTCTCCTTAATTCAAAAAAAAGTAGAATTACTCTTGCAACATAATTAAGAAGAGTTTTTTTACAGAGCTTTTATCTCATTTTTGAAATTGGCAGGAGATTTGTAGGGTTCACGTACAATTTTATAAACGTGAAGAACTGAACTGGGGTTGTTTTGATTCTTCGGTTGTACGTGACAAGGAGTAGGGTCGCCTGTCCATCCTCGCGGGTTTTATCCGGGTCCTCTGGTTTCCTCCCACTGCTAAAGACCCCTACAAGCGAATTATTGTAATAAAATTGAACCATATGTTAGTCCCGAAATGACCTAATTTCTCTCTCTCTCATTTTTTGGTAAATTTGTTAACCTGATTATTTATTTGTGCAGGTCCAGAAGTGGTAGTTTAAGTAGCAGATATTCCGGTAAGTCAAAGAAAAAAGCCAAGAAACACAAATCAAAGAAATATTCACCAAGCCCATCATACGAAAGAAGACGTTCTCGAACACGGTCACGCAGCAGGGAGAGATATTACAGATCTAGATCAAGAAGCAGAGGTCGAAGGTCATGGACAAGGTCGAGAAGTAGAGGTCGATGGACAAGGTCAAGAAGTAGAGGTAGAAGATCAGCGTCGAGGTCAAGGAGTAGAGGTCGTAGGTCATTATCTCAAAGTAGAGGTCGTAGGTCATTATCTCAAAGTTACACAAGAAGAACTCGCAGTCGTGAACGTGAGCAATATAGACGATCTAGATCAGGCAGTAGAGGTCAGAGGTCAAGAAGCAGGGACAGATATCGGAGATCAAGGTTAAACATTTTCACTTTCTGCTTATATCCAATTTTAATGAAAAATGATATATGTAACTTTATATTGATGAGATCTCACATAAGATTGAATGTTAAAATGGGGATTTCCCTGATTATCTCAAGGATAATATGTACCAGAACAAACCCCAAACGATTGGTGAACTGAAGGCAGCAATCACAGCAAAAATCAGGGAAATTCCCAAAGAGGAATGTGTTCGTGTAATTGACAATTTTGCACGACGTTATGTAAGTTTGCCTCCAACGCCACGGAGGCCATTTGGAGCATATTTTGGAAAGAACATGACTTTATGCAAAGCGATCAAAATAACTGAAACTTTGTGGAATTATCGTACACAGACTGAAGTTTAATTCCAGCAAATTTGCTGTAGGATTTAATAAAATTTCTATGGATTCTAGTACTTTTGCGTCAGCCTGTATGTTATACACACTCCAGTTATGAAGATTAATTTTAGAATCATGTGGTAATTCTAGAAAAATCAAACAAAATTTATCATTGCAATATATTCCCAGATATGACTTACCAGTATTTCATTTAAAGTCAATTTTGAAATCTTGAAATATTGTCTCATATAATTAAATGTTTTATTTTAGATCTAATTCAGGCGATAGATATCGGGATAGAAAGAGAAGTCCAGAAACAGAAAGGTGCGTTCAATACTATAATATCTTTCTTTTTTATTTAAATTGCTATATGTTTATGTTAATGAGAGTAGGCCTACCTGACAATACCTGGTATACCTGACAATAGAATGATAAAATTATTTTGTTGTCACAGTATTAATACCTAGAAATAAAGTTTCTTAGTCAAAGGGCAAAAAATTCAACATAAAACCCCTAGAAACAGAATGTAGAGAGAGAGAGAGGGGGGGGGGGTAACGTCCACTAGACACAAACTAGGTAATTTCAGGACTAACATCTGGTTCAATTTGATTTCAATAGAGTCTTTAGAAGTGGGAACAGAATGTAGAGCATTATTTTATTAAATTACATTTGTTCATTTGCTAGGGGGAGAGAGAGAGAGACAAACTAGGTCATTTCGGGACTAACATATGGTTTAATTTTATTTCAATAATTCGCTTGCGCGTAGAGGTCTTTAGCAGTGGGAAGAAACCGGAGGACCTGGAGAAAACACACAAGTTTGGACAGGCGACCCTACTCCTTGTCACGTACAACCGGGGAATCGAAACCACACCAGTTGACTCAATGGCAGACTATATGGTACCATTTGCTAGAATAATGAGTCTGTGGAAGGGATGAGTAAAGAGAATAAAATTCCTCTTCTTGTTTTATGAAATCTAATTCTCAAAAATCTCTTTCTAGTTCTGATCCTGCAGTAAATATTCCTGGTTTTGAGGATATGGTAAGAAGAAATTTATTCTATATCTTTTGATAATAGAACTTTCTTGTAGTCATAAACTTTACACCATTAACAATTCGCAATTCTTGTAAACAATCTGATTAAAACATAGATCCTATTTCGTTTCGTTTTTTATAGTTCAAAATTTCATTTTACTTGTCTTTACTACACTAGGATCTGGAAGAGTTGTTATATTACCGGCGTTCTGGTTGAAGTGAGGGTTTAGCCAATGAAACAGTATATTACGGCGAGTTTTTGGTGTGCTCTGCATGGAACTGTGGGTAAACCAATAGAAACATCAATGCTGATTGATTAATCCATGTCTGAAGTCATAGGGTAAAAAAACGCTCGTATTGACCCTTTACATGACCTCCCAATACAACTGGTCAGATCTTTCTGTAGTGTAGGCCATCAAAATTATAAAAAAACAAAACAAAGTAAAGATCTGTTTTTTAATTAGATTGTCTGTAGGTCGGAGATTGCTCTGGTTGTCATTTGGATAACCATTGCTGAAATTCGCAATTGCACAGGATGTTAAACAGGTATCATTTAATCTTGTATATCTATCTACCACTAATTTCTTTCACATTCATAATAAAGGAATGTGAAAAAAAATTAGTGGTAGATAGATACACAAGTTCAAATGATACCCGGGTTACAGTGTTATATTGGTATGTATTTAACTATGTTTTTTTTTAGTTTTAGGTGTTTTATATTTTATGGGTATTCTTTCAGGCTCCACATGAAAAGGCTAAAATAAGAATGCAGTTGGCTTTAAAAGCAGCAGGTAAATTAATGTAGATTTTTTATTTGTGTTTAATGGATTGTATTTTTACATTGAATTACTGTAGTGTTTCTTCACCATTCACTACAAACGTGCACACTATATCATAAGGGGAGGGGGGTTGTTGGGTGGCCGAATGTTTAGTGTGTGCACGCTATATCATAAGGTCTGTCATTGAGTCTACCACCATGGTTTCGATTCCCCAGTTGTATGTGACAAGGAGTATGGTTGCCTGTCCAACCTCGTGTGTTTTCTCTGGGTTCCCTGATTTCCTCCCACTGCTAAAGACCCCTATGCGCAAGCGAATTATAGAAATAAAATTGAACCATGTGTTAGTCCCAAATGACTAGTTTGTGTCGAGTGGACGTTAAACCCCATTTCCCCCTCCCTCTCTCTCTCTCTCTCTCTCTCTCTCATTTAATTTTCATTTCATTTAGATACCAAACACTCTGTGTTTAAAAGCTGAGATGCAATCGGAAAACCTAAAGTATTGGTATTTCTAATTAGAAAAATATAAAATGTATTAAATCTAAGTTATAAACTACATTATTTTCTGGTATTATTATTACTATTTCTTTATTCTCTTTCTATTTTGATAATTCTAAGTTTGTTTTGAACAAGGATTTTTTAAATGCTATCTAATTTCTGATGTAATTTCATTGGCCGAGAAAGTTCATCCAGATTTTCTGGCGTGGTCCCCCTTGTCATTGATGCACAACGGAGGGCCTGACAAGTACAGCTGTCTAGTCATTCGGATGAGACAGAAAGTAGAGGTCTCATGTTCACATTGCCGTGCACGTAAAAGATCCCTTGACAGTTGGAATTCGATATAAGAGTAGGCCGTAGTGCCGCTGCCCGGGCAAAATTTCCCTCATAGCACACTGTATGGCGTATGCCCGTCTTCATTAGCCCAGTTCGGAGCAAAACAGTGGGGCGTTAAAACCCCATTTCATTTCATTTCTGATGTAATTTTTTATGAAAGAGCTAATGGTATGAGTTGTGTTATTAAACAAATTTAAAAATGCATTTTGGGAGATTAGATAAAGTTAACTTAAAGATACATTATGGGGGATTCCATAACGAGTTGGCAGTTCTCACTATAATAGTTAAAAATTAGATAATGTAAAGGCAATTTGCTAAAAATTTCATTCAAATTGATCCACTATGAACCGAGAACTAAGCGTTTGAAATTTCCTGCTAGCCTCGATCATCATTACTAAAATCAGTACGATAAACAGCATAGTCTCAATTATCCATTTAATAGATAAATCGTGAAGGAAAGTTATGCAGTAAATCGGCTCATAATCCACTAAAGATCGCAGGCTAGCGATACCATCTAGAGTTGATTATTGACTGGATACGTTAATTCATGTCTAATTAATAATTTAGATAACATTTCAGGCATAAAGAAAGACCTCCCATAGGCAGATTGCATAATGTATGTTTAAATGTGTAACGTTTATTTGTTTTTTTATTATAGCTGCAGCCGATGAGAAGATAAGAGAAGAAACAGCCAGTCTAGCTCAGAGTGCAGTCTTTAAACCCAAAGATCCAATGGCCTTCTCTACAGCTGTTGCGGAAATTGAAGATTTTGGTTTCGCGCCCTCAAAGTTCAAATCAAGTCGGTCGAAGAAAAAGGTATGTTTACTGTATTATGTTTAATTTGTAGGGAGCTCAATTTATCAATTCGGGGTGGGGGTGGGGGGTTTGGATGGCTGAATGGTTAGCGTGTGCGCGCTGTATCATAAAGTCTGTCATTGAGTCGACTGGCGTGGTTTCGAATTTCCGGTTGTATGTGACAAGGAGTAGGGTCGCCTGTCCAACCTCGTGGGTTTTCTCCGGGTCCCCCGATTTCCTCCCACTGCTAAAGACCCCTACGCGCAAGCGAATTATGTAAATAAAATTAAACCATATGTTAGTCCCGAAATGACCTGGTTTGTGTCGAGTGGACGTTAAACCCCATTTCTCTCTCTCAATTTATCAATTCAATGTCCAAAATTGTCAGACCTTTTATGGTTACCATGTGCGAGCTTCATCACAAGGTCTGTCATTGAGTCAGCTGGCATGGTTTAGATTCTCTGGTTGTGACAAGGAGTAGGGTTACATGTCCAATCGCGTGGGGTTTCTCCGGGTCCTCTGGTTTCCTCCCGCTGCTAAGGACCCCTCTGTGCAAGTGAATTACTGAAATAAAATTGAACTATGTGTTAGTCCCGAAATCACCTAGTTTGTGTCTTGTGGATGTTAAACCCCATTTCTCTCTCTAAACATGTTCATTAGTATGTTTTGTTGTCTAAATGGCAAGTTATCTTTGGGCTAGCAACTGGTTGGCCTGAAAAGCTTGCATCCATTTTTAAAAACTGCAAATAGTAAACAATCCAAAAGATTTTGCATTTCATCGTCTGGTAAGCTGTGTTTTGAAAAAATCTGGGGGATCACGTGGCTAAGTGGGTAAGACGCTGGCTCGCCAGCCTGGAGGTCAGGTGTTCGATCCCTGCATTGGCCGAGAAAGTTCATCTCGATTTTCCGGCGTGGTTTCCCCTTGTCAGTGATGCAGGACGGAGGGCCTGACAAGGACATCTGTCTAGTCGTTCGGATGGGATGAAAAACCAAGGTCCCGTGTACACATTGGCGTGCACGTAAAAGATCCCTTGACAGTTGGAATTCGATATAAGAGTAGGCCGTAGTGCCGCTGCCCGGGCAAAATTTCCCTCATAGCACACTGTATGGCGTATGCCCGTCTTCATTAGCCCAGTTCGGAGCAAAACAGTGGGGCGTTAAAACCCATTTCATTTCATTTTCATTTTGAAAATATATTAGTCTATAGTAAATATGTATAAATGATTATATTTAGAAGGCTGATTCATCAGAGAAATATATCGATACACATGAACAAGCCATGTTTGGTATTGGTGGATTAGAAATTAAATCAGAAGCTGGTTTTAATAAACCTATAACTATAGATCCTAACACTCTAGCTCATACTAATGTAAGTTATTGTTTTACTTATATACATCCGTCAAAATCCTCTACTTATATACACCCGTCAGAAGTCCTCTACTTATATACACCCGTCAAAATCCTCTACTTATATACAACCGTCAAAATCCTCTACTTCATTTAATAGTCCTGCCAATGAAACATAAGACCACAGCAGCTAATTTGTCTGAGCAGTCAACAAGAATTGTCGCATATTTGAAAGTCCTGCCAATGAAACATAAGGCCAAAACAACAGCTAAGTTGTCTGAGCAGTCAACAAGAATTGTCGCATAATGAAACATTTATAATATACTAAAATCTCATTAAGCAATTATCAGAGAATCATTAGAATTTGTTTGGCCCATGCCAATGTTTAGTATACAAAACATTTAATGTCATGGATTTAGCTGTTCAGAATTCATTGAAAATCAATATACTTGTTCATCTCAAGACCTTACACTCTGTGTATCAATCTAAAGTCAATTGGACGATAACTTTGATCTCTAGAGCATTTGCAAGTTTTTTAAAAAGTGCCATAACTCTGGCAGTATTTATCGGAAATTGTTGAATATCAATAGGATTCTTCGTCTCATGACCTGAATTTAAAGTCAATCGGATATTAACTTTAGCCTCTAGAGTATCCACAAGCAATTGTGACTGACGGACAGGGGCAATGACAATATACAACCACGTTTCAATGGGTGTATAAAAATTAAAATATGTCATTGGTGGAAGAATAAGGGTCAGTAGCTGTTCAGATAGGAATAAAAAACCGAGGTCCTGTGTATACTATTGGCAACATGTTACATGTAGGAAATTGAATTAGGTGTATGCTATAACACCACCACTGTCAGGGCAAAATTTCCCCCATAGCATTCTGCATAGTGAATGTCTGTCTTCATTAGCCAAGTAGTCCCGAAATGACCTAGTTTGTGTTGAGTGGACTTACTGTCCAAGTAAATTGTTGAATTATTTTCTGCCCACTTTTTTTTTTCTGCCGTTTAATTGCAGTCTGTTATACATATGCACCCCTCAATGTTTCCAAACCTGCCTAACCATTTGATAAAGAAATAACAACCACTCCCAAAGTCAAGCTGGCAGGCAATAATCCGTTGGTTGCCAGTTAGTGATATCCTGATATCTTTACCCAGTGCTTGCCTCATAGGTGTTTTTTGTGTAATCCAGTATTTTTCTAATAAGATTGGGCATTTATACTTTCCATATACCAAATTTGCCATACTTTTATTGGAAATAACCACCCGATAAATACTTTCATGAGAATGTATCGTTAATTTATTCTTCTGGGACAGACCATCCACATTAAACAAACACTAGTAACTTGTAGCTGTTCGTTTTTGGCTCCTAGTTATTCCAGGAATTATGAATGGTTCTAGAGAACTGGCTATGACATTGAGCTGATAAGCAGAAAAAAAATGAAATGGGGTTTAACGTCCTACTGTTCTGCTCCTAAACTGGGCTAATGAAGACGGGCATACGCCATACAGTGTGCTATGAGGGAAATTTTGCCCGAGCAGCAGCGCTGCGGCCTACTCTTTTATCAAATTCCAACTGCCAAGGGATCTTTTACGTGCACAACAATTTGTACACGGGACCTCGGTTTTTCATCCCATCCGAACGACTAGACAGCTGTCCTTGTCAGGCCCTCCGTCCTGCATCACTGACAAGGGGAAACCACGCCGGAAAATCTGGATGAACTTTCTCGACCAATGCAGGGATCGAACACCAGACCTCCAGGCTAGCGAGCCAGCGTCTTACCCACTTACTCACGTGATCCCCGAGCTGATAAGCAAGTGGTCCATCTAATAATGCTAGATTCCCACCTGCGTGTCCGTATTGCGTACACGATCTGGTGCGCGCAGATACATTTCGATACGATCAACACGATTGTTACGACTGACCTCAATATATGATAAGACCTGATAGGATCACCACGATTAAAAGCATGAATCGTGATAGTGGGAACGTAGCATAAGGAAAATTTTACGTAGTCGGTTTAACGTAGTGCCACAGTCTATTCAAATTTTCTATACTTGGTCTTGTACATAATATTTCTGTTTTCTTTTGAGGGGGTGGACATGGAGAAAATGATAAATATATAAATGGTTTATGTATATATTGTAGTTATACTGTGATGCACAAGAGAAAATGGATAAATGGATAAATAAACTGGCATCGATGAGAAGAAAAAAATATGATGGCATGGCAATGATACACTGATTGATCAATTTATCAGTGAGACAGTTTAAAGGAGCTAATATTTGGGACCTAGAAATTGACAACTACATGTAATTCATGTTTTCAATGTCGAAGACTTTGGATGATACTGAATTAGAGACTTAGCTACTTTAAAAACTTAGTGATTGAAAGGTTTGCAGGGACATTGTACATTTATAAGAACATTCATGTTTTTAATGTCAAAGACTTTGGATGATATTGAGTTAGAGACTTAGCTACTTTAAAAACTTAGTGATTGAAAGGTTTGGGGAGACATTGTACATTTATAAGAACATTGGTTATACAGAAGATTGGTGTAAAAAAAGAAATTTAGAAAAAGATTGTATATTATTTTATTTCATATCAATCGTATGAATCAGTGGAGTTTTATACAAATTTCTTCAACACTTCTACCAGTCCTTGCCCCCAAGTTCACCAAGCATTCTGTTTAGTGTTTATTAGAAATATCTTTGTTCCAGAAAAACAAAACTTTGCACATAGTTTCTTATTGATGTATTTGAAACATTAAAACAACAAAAGCGTTATATAAAGGGCTATATTTTAGTTAAAAAAAGGCAAACAATTTTGAGTAATATTTTGTGAACTTGGGGCCAGAACTTCTATAAATCATTTATTGAGCATTGCTGTAACAGACAATCTGATTAAAATTAAAACATTATTTATTCCATTTCATGTATCATATTTTACCTCCGTAACACCATACATGTATATTAAAATATAATCAACATAAATTGTATTTTTGAACACTCCATTTTATATGTGCATTGATAATGGCTAAATCTATTTTTTAAGGCCAGCTCAATTTTCATCACGGTCACTGAGATGTAAATAGGGTTAGGGCACGTGATTGTTGGCGAAATTGTAGGTGAGGGTTAGGGTAAGCATTGGGGCTAGGTCCAGGGTTGGGATTAGCGCCAGCCCTGTTTACATCTCGTGACCTTTGACCAAACTTGAAGTTGGCCTTATCAAATAGGTCTAGCCATTGATAACATCTAAATGTGAATACAAATTAAAAATAGCACTGTCATGGTCAATGATGTAAATCATCATACTCATCATATACTTTCTTGAACTGAAACACGGTGTTCAAGCTAAATGCTATATCCTACATGATTAATCTATCAACAATAATAGGGTCACCGGCACAAAAGAATAATTACGTTCATTAAATCCAAACCAATCTTTTAGAATAGTCTTATTTCATTTACATTGCAACATTCATTATGTAAATAGGATATTTCTGTTCATTACATACAAATCAATCTTTTAGAATCGTCTTATTTCTTTGAAACATTCATTTTGTAAATATGATTGTAAAATTATTGACTTTATACGTGAATAAATCATATAAAGATTAGGTAATGTTGTACCACGATTTTAAGCCTTCAGGTGTTTTGCGTGATGTTGAATATGATCTTCTATAAATGATGCAATGAAGAAATAACTGTGGTCATAATCCTGTAAAATATACAACAGTTGAAATATACATCTGATAATAATAGTCAGAATATACTACAATCTAATTCAAATACAGATCTATACTTCGTTTTGTTTTATTAAACTTCCGATGGCCTACACTACATGCAGATCTGGGGTTATACGAGCGGCTTTCAACCCTATGACGTGAGACATTTGATTAACCAATCAGCGTTGATGTTTCTAGTGGGTTACCCCCAGTTCCGTGCACTTCGGCGTAAAAGACCGTTTCATTGGCTAATCTCTCACACCATTCAGAACACATCAATGATAACAACTCTTCCAGATCCTGGTGTAGTAAAGGCAAGTAAAATGAAATTTTGAACTTAAAACAACGAAACGAAATAGATTGAATATACTACAAGATTGGCATGACACAAATTTTTAAATTGTACTGAGCCATGGTGGCTTCATAAGTACGGTACTGGATCACTAGTCAGGAAATCCGAGATTTTTTCCAGGGGTCAATTTTCTACCCTCTATTCCCATTAGGGGCCTGGCAAGGAAAAGTGTCTAGTCACTCGGCTTAGACAAAAAAAAACCCAAGGTCCCATGTATTGCCAGTAAGTTAAAGATACCCCTGACAGTTGAAATTTGAAATAGGGGTGAGAGAAAAAAAATGGTGTTAACGTCCACTTGACACAAACTAGGTCATTTCAGGAGGACCTGGAGAAAACCCACGAAGTTGGACAGGCGACAAAACTCCTTGCCACGTACAAGTTGGGAATCGAAAAACACACCATGAATAAATGACATATCTAGTGATTTCATGCGCACGCATTAAACCACTAGACCTCTACCCCACCCTCAAATTCAAAACAAAGAGTAGGCCATAGTGCTGGATCAGAATGTTATTATGAATGCGTGGTTAATTGCGACAGCCTTAACTCTCGACAGACAACAGATGGAGCTATGGAGCTATGGTGGCTAGGTTCGTAAGATGCTGGCTCGCTAGCCTGGATGTGCCATGTTTGATACCTGCATTGGCCGAGAAAATTCATCAGGATTTTCCGACATGGTTTCCCCTTTTTAGTGGTGCAGGGCAAAGGACCTGACAAGGAAATTTGTCTAGGCCTTCGAATGTGCCGAAAAACGAAGGTGCCGTGCATACATGTAAAAGATCCGACAGATGGAATTCGATACAAAGAAGGCCATAGTGCCCCTGCTAGGCTAAAATTCCCTCATAGCACACTGTATGGCATGTGCCCGTTTTCATTCGTCCCGTAGTAGCAGGAACGGAAGGACGTTAAACCCCATTTCATTTTGACCTTTATCATCCTACCTCCTGCATTCTCAATGTGATGGGTATTTTCTTCTCACTACAAACCTCCACCAAGTTTTCTGGTAAAAGTTGTTTTTGTGTCAAGAAGTTATCAGCTTTTCCCTGAAAAATGACAAAAGAATTAAACCTCTCTGTTCGTACATATATCTAAATGTTAAAAATATAATGTGCCACTTCACTCTGGGTGGTGCTCACAATATGAGTACTCCACAAGGGCCTGTATATTAAAGAGTTTAGGGAGAGACAGAGAGAAATGGGATTTAACGTCCACTTGACAGAAACTAGGTCATTTTGGGAGTAACACATGGTTCAATTTTATTTCAATAATTTGCTTGCGCGTAGGAGGTCTTTAACAGTGGGAGGAAACCGGAAGACCCGGAGAAAACCCATGAGGCTGGACAGGCGAGACTACTTCTTGTCACGTACAACCGGGGAATTGAAACCAAGCTAGTAGACTCAATGACAGACCTTATGATACAACACACACGCGCTAACCATTCGGCCATCCAACCCCACCAAAGAGTTTAGGACTTTCCAGGTTATCATGTCACTTCTAATCACATAACCTTTATAACTTGCTGCTTTGGCTCACAAAAATGAAGAAATTCCATTACAGGATAACACAGTTCACAACAGAATACAGAAAGAAGCACTATTTACAAAACATAACTAAATTTATTTTTAATGGATATATAAATAATTAAACCTGACCTGGTCCACTAAAATATCTAATGCTGGGCCATTATACTGTCGAGCTAGTTCACATGCATCATAGGCCTACAATAAATTATAATACATGTATAAAGTTTGTCAATAGTTAAAATATTTCATTTAAACCAGAGTCTACAAAGATTGAATTCAATGAAAGAGGCATTATAGGAGATCAGATAAAGAGTTGACTGTTTGCGCTATAATAGTTAAAAATTGGATAATGTAAATAGAATATATTGAAATTTTTTAGTCAAATTGCTTTTGAATTTTAAGCCTAGCCTCGATCATCATTACTAAACATAGTCTCGATTATCCATTTTTGGATTTAATCATCAATGAGCATTGAGCAGCAGATTGGATTCAAATCCAGTGAAAATCCCACACATAAGATGGCATCGAGAGTTGATTTTGGTCTGGACAATTTAAATAATGTCTAATTAATACTTTATATAACATTTCAGGCCACTTCTATACTATTCAAAAAAAGTAGGGGATATTTGATTTTTAAGTGTTATTAAAGTCACCTAATGAAACTGACGAAGAAACAAATGACAAAATGAAATGAAGTTCACATTCATCGATTTATTCCAAATGATCGTTAGACTAAGTAAGGCACAGACTGACCATTATAAGGGTAAAATGATACCCGGGGTCAAACAGCAAAGTTACCACAGCATCACAACCAAGTCAGTAACGGGTAAATCCTCCTCTGTTTGCCAAACAAGCATTGATCCGACGTGGCATACTCCTAATGAGACGTCTAAGGTCATTTTGGTCAAGATTGTCCCATTCCTGTTGCAACGCAGCAGCAAGTTCTTGGACATTGGCAGGACGTTGTTGACGTTGACGTAACCTCTGTCCAAGCATGTCCCAAAAATGCTCGATGGGGGAGAGGTCGGGACTCAGTGCTGGCCAAGGTAATGTGGTGATGTTCTGTTGTTGGAGGTAACCTGTAACGATCCTGGCCCTGTGACATCTTGCGTTGTCATCCTGGAAGATGAAACGGCGGCCATGACGTCGTGCGAACGGCACAACATGGACTGCCAAGATGTTGTCCCGGTAGTACTGGCCTGTAACACGCCCTGCAACAACATGTAAAGCCGTTCTTCCAGCAACAGTGATGCCTCCCCACACCATAACAGAACCACCCCCAAATCGATCATGTCTGATGACGTTAACGTCTTGGAAGCGCTCGTTTCGACGACGCCACACCCTCCTACGTCTGTCCAAATAATCAACAGTGAACCTTGACTCATCTGAAAACATCACATTGCTCCAGCGTCGATTATCCCAGTGTTGACGATCCCTACACCAACGACGTCTTGCCTGAATGTGATGATCTCTCAAACAAGGGATCACGCGAGGACGTCGGGCGCGAAGGTGACCCCTATGCAGTCGATTCCGAATCGTCTGGCCACTCACTCTCACACCAGTGTCTGTTTGAAGACGAGCGCTGATCTGATTTGCTGTGATGACACGATTTCTCAAGGCCAAGGTACGGATAAATCGATCCTGGGCTTGAGTTGTCGCCCTTGGTCGACCTGAGCGTGGTCTGTCCTGTACAGATTGCGTATCACGGTATCTGGACCATAGCCTGCTTATGACAGACTGAGAAACATTCATCGTCCGCGCCACAACCGCCTGTGTTGTGCCGATCTGTAGCATGCCAAGGGCACGTAACCTTTCATTTTGGGTTAGCCGACGCATATCAAAATTTGTTTTCTGGTCACTAAAACAATTAAACTGATGTTTCCACCCTGGAATTCAATGCCACAATGACTGTAACATTCAAAGTCAGAGTCGTGCAAATCTTGAGTTGGACCCCCATGATGATCCCAAGCATCACCTGCATTCCATGGGGTAGCTATTGGTGCGTTTGGGCGTCACATGTAACTGGAAATGTTTCTTCTGTTAGGTTCTATAGTGACTTTTTTCAAAGTCATTTGCATATTTTAGTATTATGCCCCCAAAATCAAATATCCCCTACTTTTTTTGAATAGTATATATCCATAACTAATAAAAGGGAATAACTTATCAATGACATACCAAAGCATCAACTATGTCCTTCTGATGATTTTCATATTTTCTAAATGAAGATTAACTTCTATTTGATGAATAAAATTGTTTCTGCAAATTTCATAAATTTGGGTTAGAAAATCTACTCCACATGGCTACAAATTGTGGACAGGTATGGTTGTTAGCAATCTGTCAATTCGACATTTTATAATTGTGACCTACCTTCCAAACAGCTTGATCTGCACCAAGATATCCATTAAAAGCTTTCTGACCCCATGGACAATTAACAGGATTACATATTGGTGAGAATGCACTAACAGAACAGTATTTACCAGGGTTCTTTAACGTACATATTAAAGCTCCATGACCACCCATACTATAACAAATCATCACGTTAATCAATAATCAATAATCTATCAATCAACAGAGAGAGAGAGAGATGGGGTTTAAAGTCCACTTGACACAAACTAGGTCCTTTTGGGACTAACATATGGTTCAATTTCATTGCAATAACTCGCTTGCACATAGGAGTCTTTAGCAGTGGGAGGAAACCTGAAGGACTCAGAGAAAACCCACGAGGTTGGACAGGCGACCCTACTTCTTGTCCCATACAACCGGGGATTTTAAACCACTTAATGATAGACTTTATGATACAATGCGCATCACTAACCATTCGGCCATCCAACTCCCCAATTGAGAAAGAAGATAAATCATAATGTACTGCAGTTTAGTATAAATGGTGCTATCCATCACATGCACTGAAGTGAGGGATTAGCCAATGAAACGGTCTATTACAGCGATGCACAGAAATATGGGTAAACCACTAGAAAAGTCAACACTGATTGATTAATCAATGTCTGACGTCATAGGGTCAAAAACCAGTTGTATGACCTCTGACGCAACCTTTCAGTACAACTGGTCAGATCTTCATGTAGTGCAGGCCATCAAAAGTATAAGATTTGTATTTTAATCAGATTGGAACTGAACTAATCACAATATAAGCTGATAAATGAGGGATTGGGAAAAACATTTTTTCTCAATATAAATAGTTGGGAGGTAACAGAGCAATGCAACTTTAAGGGGTGTAACTTTTGTTCGTGTTTCAGTATTCTTTTGGGATGAGTCAATTACTGTTACTATCTGATGGTTCCATGAACACTTTAGTTTTTATAAACAAGTGCAATATACATCTATAATTAAAGACAATTACAAGGACTCCTTATGGACAAACAAATACCTTGGATGGCTTGCATTTTACAAATATGTCTGAATTGAAAATTTAATATCTAGTTTTATTAATCAATGAATAATAAATAGTGTAAATACTAACCTATGACCCATAATAGATTTTTTGTCTGGTATGGTGGGAAAATTTTCATTAATTAATGCGGGAAGCTGAAATAGGCAAAATTGTATCATACTAATTACATTGTACTAAAATCTCCATATTTAAAATACAGACGTGACGTCATCCTTTGATGTTGGCGTACGGACAATGTGCCAAGTGTACATTATTTATACTAGTTGAAATTTTGGACCCGTGTGACATATTTCATTGCAAATCACATGCGAGTGTCTGTATTTTAAGTTGTTTAATGCTATCGAGCTTAAGACATTGCCAATATATCAAAACAACACAACGTCACTATGAAATAATGGTACAGACAACATGCCAAATGTACATTATTTATACTAGTTGAAATTTTGGACCCGTGTGACATATTTCATTGCAAATCACATGCGAGTGTCTGTATTTTAAGTTGTTTAATGCTATCGAGCTTAAGACATTGCCAATATATCAAAACAACACAACGTCACTATGAAATAATGGTACAGACAACATGCCAAATGTACATTATTTATACTAGTTGAAATTATGGACCCACGTGACATATTTCATTGCATAGCCCGTGCGAGTGTCTGAATTTTAAGTTGTTTAATGCTATCGAGCTTAAGACATTGCCAATATATCAAAACAACACAACGTCCCTATGAAATAATGGTACAGACAACATGCCAAATGTACATTATTTATACTAGTTGAAATTATGGACCCACGTGACATATTTCATTGCATAGCCCGTGCGATTGTCTGTATTTTAAGTTGTTTAATGCTATCGAGCTTAAGACATTGCCAATATATCAAAACAACAAGTCCCTCGTGTTGTTTTGGTCTCGACCATTAAACCACACTTATTTTAAGATATTGCGCAATATATCGAAAACAACACAACGTCCCTCGTGTTGTTTCGGTGTATTACTTAATGTCTCGCTCTCGACCATTAACCCACACTTATTTTAAGCAATTTTAAAGAAAGGCTCTTGATAGAATACTGAGTTAATTGAATACCTCCTGAGTGATATAAGAATACATTCTATAGTTAGTCTGCCATTTATCTTGAGTAGCATCAACATAGAATCCTGCTCCGGATCCAAAATCATAACTATCATCTTCTCCTTCTATATTTACACCACCTGAGTTAAATAATTCACCACATTTACAAAACTATTTAAAGATACATTATGGGAGATTAGATAAAGAGTGGACAGTTCTCACTATAATAGTTCAAAACTAGATAATGTAAAGGGAATATTCTGTTTTTTTCAGTCAAAATGATATATTAGCGATTAAATTTTAGGTCTAGCCACGATCATCATTACTAAAGTTGGTACAATAAAAAACATAGTCTTGATTATCCATTTTTAGATTAAATCATGAATGAGTGTTGAGCAGCAAATCGGATACAAATCCAGTGAACATCTGACACTTAAGATGGCATTGAGAGTTGATTAAGGTCTTTTCATGTTAATAAATATCTAATTAATAATTTATATAACATTTCAGGCCTAAAGAAAGACCTGCAATAGGCTGATTTAGCTCTTGCATAATGTTATGTTTAATTAATATTTTTTACTTCAATAGGTAGCACAGAAGTTTAAAGAAGTCAGACACCCTTTTGATCTAATTATAAACCACATATTACACTTCTAGATCAAAGATGCTTTCATTTTAATATTACTTGCTAATTTTTGCCATTAATAGTATGGGCAATGTGCCAAGTGTACATTATATATACTAGTTGAAATTTTGGACCCATGTGATGTAATTCATTGCAAAGCATGTGCAAGTGTCTGTATTTTATGTTGTTTAATGGTCTGGAACTTAAGACATTGTGTAATATATTGAAACCATAACTCGGAGACTAACGTCCCTCGTGTTGTTTCTATAACAATATATTACCTAATGTCTTGCTTTCGATCATTAAACCACACTTATTACTGGGGCAGACAATCTATTTGATTTAGATTTACAAAAAGTCTTACGTGGGCTAGTATCTGGAGAAACGATGATCAAACTATGGTCAGCAGCATATTTCTGAGCTCCTGCTTTCGTTACAAAATTCTGCTCTGTACACGTCAATCCTGTATTCAAAAATTAAATGTGACAACTTGTTAAACAGCAGGAAATGTGGAACGGACACAAATGACCCTATTAAAGCTCCAATGTGTCTAATATATATATATATATATATATAGTGAGAGAGAGAAAAATTAGGTTTAACGCAAACTCGACACAAACTAGGTAATTTCGGGACTAACATATGGTTCAATTTTATTTCAATAATTCGCTTGCACATAGAGGTCTTCACCAGTGGGAGGAAAACAGAGGACCTGGAAAAAAAAACACGAGGTTGGACAGGCGACCCTACTCCTTGTCACGTACAACCGGGGAATCAAGACCACACCAGTTGACAAAATGACAGACTCTAATATAGAGATTAAAAACATATACAACCAAGTAATGATAATTCTGCCATTTTTTAAATATATTGTCGATTCTTCTTGAAATTTTTTTTTCGTTTCTGCTACAGAAGTTCTGAACTACCATAAATCTAAGCTTGAGGTACCAAATCTTTTTCCCATGTCCTTTCACAAGTAAATAAACTAGTATAACGTAAAGTAGTACCTGACAACCAGTAGATAACAGGAACTTTACCACCAGATGCTGCAGGAGGTAAATATACCCCAAACTTCATTGTACATTTTAATTCTGTGCTACAAACATTCAAATAAATACAAGTATAGAAACATACGTTTTTGAGAACAGCCTTTGTATTAAACATACATTATGGGAGATTAAATATATATTTCTACGATAGTCGCGATCCTTGTGGTAACGACTCTGATACACGTGGCGTAATAAGGAGATTGGGTGTTTACTGTACTATTAAAGATACATTATGGGAGATTAGTTAAAGAGCTGACAATTCTCACTGTAATGGTTAAAAATTTCAGTCAAATTGATCCACTCTGAACCGAGAGTTTAGCAATTGAATTTTCGACCTAGCCTCGATCATCATTACTAAAGTCGGTACGAGACTATGTTTAAACATAGTCTTGATTATCCATTTCATGATTTAATCAAGAATAAAATTTCAGCAGAAAATCGGATCCTAATCCAGTAAATATTGTAGGCTAGCGATGACATCGAGAGTTGATTATGGTCTGGATAAGTTAATAAAAGTCTATTTAATAATTTATATAACATTCAGGCCTAAAGAAAGACCTGCAATAGGCAGATTTAGCTCTTTGCACAATGTATGTTTAAGGTTGTTGTGCATTTTCAAATTAACAAAGTCAGTAACTTTAAAACATGTTTCTGAATGTAATTACCCTTTTAAAAAGAAGGAAAAGGTAAATAAAATTTTATACATCATATCAGAATAACCTTAATGGCTTATACTAGGTTCCCACTATCACGATTCCTGTTACGATTGAAATCATAGTTTAAAACACGGAGTAACCGTGATGATCCTACCAGGTCTTATCATATATTGAGGTCAGTCGTAGCCATCGTGTTGACGGTATCAAAACGTATCCGAAGACATCTGCATGTACCAGATCGTGGACTCAATAGGGACAACCCTTTCGCAACGCATTGCACGACAGTGAGAACCTAGCATTATTTGTAGGGCTCTTAACGAATATTAAAACATTATTACATCAGTGATTGTCTCAGATTTCTCATACATCAAATTTGAACATACCCTAACTGACTGACAAATATTGTAGCCAATATGATTCTTTTGTCTACACAAATAAATTAAAGGTCCACTCTGATTAAAACACGGATCCTATTTCGTTTTGTTTTTTATAGTTCAGAATTTTGTTTTACTGGTCTTTATTAATATACTACACTAGGATCTGGAAGAGTTGTTATATTACCGGCATTTTGGCTGAAGTGAGGGACTTCTTGGCGTGCCATGCACGGTACTGTGGGTAAACCACTAGAAACGTCAACGCTGATTGATTAATTAATCAATCTCTGACATCAAAGGGTCAAAAGCCGCTCGTACGACCCCTGACACGACCTTCGAGTACAACATGTCAGATCTCCATTTAGTGAAGGCCATTGAAAGTATAAAAAAATGAAACGAAATATAGATCTATATTTTAATCAGATTTAATTTTTTTTTTAGTACAGCATCTTTTTGTGTTAACAAGTCAATAGTGTTATTATTTTATACCTTTCATGAGAGAAAACCTTTTGTTGACCACCAAATGATTTATTCGAGGAAACTTCAGTTAAAGATGCCATTTTGTAAAATCTGGAACAATAAATTTAATAAAATCAAAATAATAAAGTACTGGTACATTCATACATGTATGCATGATGTAAAATATTTTTTACTATGCAACATTATGAATGCAACTGAAAGTATAAAATTTGAATGTATAAAATATATTACAAATGAACTTTCAAACAAAGGGGTATCGAGTGATCAAACTAAGTATGAAAATTCATGTTTATATAAAGCCCTGTATTCAATCAATAAATAATTAATGTAATTTGAATTAAAATTGAATTGAGACCTTCGGTAAACAACAGTACTGTATGCATAATGTTTCATTCAAATTGGATGAGAAGTTGAGTTTGTGTATTTAGAGAGAGAGAGAGAGAGAAAGAGAGAGAGAGAGAGAGAGATGGGGTTTAATGTCCACTGACACAGACTAGGTCATTACAGGACTCCTTGTCAGTACAACTGGGGAATCAAAACCATGTCATGTGACTCAATCACAGACCTTATGATACAACGCACATGCATTAACCATTTGGCCATCCATCCCTCCACCTCGTGTATTTATAAAAAGTTTAAACTGAATGACAGGAGTGAGGGCTTACTCTATCAATAGTTGTAAGGTGGGGGTGGGCATAACTCTTGAACCGCTTTTCCAAAATACTCCAGTTCCATATGGAAATGAAATGAAATGAAACTAGCTAGGCTAATGAAGACGGGCATATGCCATACAGTATGCTATGAGGGAAATTTTGCACAGACAGCGGCACTACGGCCTAAATTTATTACGAATTTGTTTTTTTGTCCCATCCTAATGACTGTATATTGACCATCGCCAGGCACTCCATAAGTCCTGCACCACTGACAAGCGTACACACCACGTCACAAAATCCCGATGAAATTTAGAGAGCTAACATCCTTCTCACTGAGATCCATATGGATCATCCTTATCTAAATATAATACCAATTTCAGAAAATTTTATGAAATTAATGCCAGTACACACGTGTGTGTGGTCGTGGACGAATGGACAGGGCCAACAATATTTGTATGTTGCCTATAAAAAACCCCCCAGGGTATTATTGTTCTGCATCTCCATGTGACACAAGATATTCTAATGAAAGAAACAGACATGTCAGACTAAATTTACTGTTCAGTGTTGTATTGGAACTCTTTTGGAAGGTGGGTGTGTAAGGACTGGATGTTCCTTTATTAAACCGGCATTTTTTATTCTTTATTTCCTGAATATTTACGAATATCAAGACATATCCGTTCCTAAAATCGTATTCGATGGACTGAAACAATACTATTGCATAACGAAAAGCAATTGTCACAGACGCAGAAACAAGATTTACCAATAAAATTAAATGTTTTATTTGCAGTTCTGTCAGCTGAATGCTTGCACGGACGAACAACCGCCTTCAATCTTGGGGCTATTTTTATTAATCCGCTCTCAAAATAGGACATTCATAGAATTGGAGAATTCTGTATTTGCTCTAAAATAAATAAATAAATCATACAAAAAACTTCTCAAGAACTTAGATATTTTATGTCAGTTTACATTGGGAGGGATTTATATTTATATTTGATGCATACTAAATGCAGTGTATTAATCTCTACCGCTGAGCTATAAATAGACTTATTTAGAGTTATCTTCCCATACCGGAAATAAATAAACGTACAGAAAAGAAAATGTGCACAAGAGAAAATCTGAATAATTTGTGAACAGAAAAATAAACAAAAATGCCAGCGCTTGAAGTGCTACGGCCGGTTATTCCGGATGGACAAATTGATATTGAGCAAGAAAAGGTCCCTCCACCGTCAAAACCAGTGATTGGGATCATTTATCCTCCACCAGAAGTGAGAAGTATCCTTGACTGAATTCGTTGAAAAAATAATCACTTGATATTTCGTTTTGCGAATCTTGTGCATTTACTATTAGTTATTAGTGTTATTACTACATTTGATTCTTTTACAGAGTAATGCTTTTATCATCTTTTTCATAGTGAATAGTTATTGATAATTGACACGATCAAGATGCCTTTGTCGTGGTTTAATAGAGAACAATCAACAAAAGAATTTGAAAATAAATCATAATATTCAAGAAATATTCAATAACAAGTTGAACAAGTTCATTAATAAACAATACAATTCAATAATAAAGTCACTAACAGTAAAATTCAATAACAAAGTCATTACATTAAGAAACAATACAATTCAAATCGGTGCATTCGCAAACTATAACATAGATGATTAATATGTAACAGGCCTTGCCTGAGTAGAGCGAAGCTGATGTGATTGTTGTCAAATAAAACCTTCATAATAAAGGTGTGAGGATTTTCATTGACGTCAAAATTATCTGACGTCATTTATTCGACGCGTCATAGAAATATTTCTTAGAGACCCAAAATCTCGCTTGGGCGAGATTTGGTAAGTTGACATGCGCTGACATGCGCATTGACAGACATGCGCATTGCCTGTTTTCCCCAGTGTATCCGGTTCCTGTCTGAATTTTTTTTTAATCAACAGTCTGTGGGTGACATTTTCAATTACGCTCCTGTGTTACCGGAAAAGAGCTTTGCTCAAGCACCGCGCTTCGCGCGATGCTTTAGAGCTTCGCTCTATATTAAAACTATAAACGTTACAAAAACAGAACTTGAGTACGCTGTGTTGAAATCAAATTATGGATCTGGGCCCTTATTCACAAAAACTTATACAATCGAAATTTTAAGAAATACTGCAATTCGATTGGCTGACCAATATGCAAGTTCATACTGCAATCTTATTTTTCCATTTTAATTACAATGATGTCATTGAGTCAACTGCCATGGTTACGATTACCCGGTTGTATGGGATGAGAAGTAGGGTCGCCTGTCCAACCTTGTGGGTTTTCTCCGGGTCCTCTCAGTAAAATTGAATTGTTTCAAAGATTTATATTCAAAGACGTACATTGAACAGTGATGTATTGTTTAGTACAAGTACAATTAAAAAACTCATTGATTTTCAGCTTTGATTATTCAGTGTGTCATTAGTGTTCCCTTTAACTATACCAAATAGACATTGTTGATAAAACTGCTAGCTTTGTTGCCAGAAATGGACCAGAGTTTGAGAATAGAATTCGACAGAATGAAGTTAATAATCCCAAGTTTAATTTTTTGAGTGAAAATGATGCCTACCATGCCTATTATCAACATAAAGTTAAAGAATTTAAGGAGGGGAGAGGTAAGTGGTACCAAAAAAAAAAAAAAAAAAATTGAAAATAAGATGGGAGTCACGGTGGCTAAGCGGGTAAGACGCTGACTCGCTAGCATTGGCTGAGAAAGTTCATCCAGATTTTTCGAAGTGGTTTTCCCCCTGTCAGTGGTGCAGGATGGAGGGCCTGATAAGGACAGTTGTCTAGTCATTCGTGTACACATTGGCATGTACGTAAAAGATCCCTTGGCAGTTGGAATTCGATATAAGAGTAGGCTATTGTGCAGCTGCCAGGGTAAAAATTTCCCTCTGAAGCTGTTTTTCTTTCAAGTTTATCCAATTTTCTTTAAACAAAGGACAATTTTGCAATGAAAATTCTTCACTCTTTTCGAACGACGCAATTTTGAAAACTTCTTTCTAAAAGCGGCAAGTTTTCCTATTAAGTAAACTGGCAGCCGCATCACAATTGTATAATTGTAGCTGCATAACACTTACCGTCATACAGCCGAGGCTAGATGTAGAGTAACAGAATCTGCAGAGGTTTGCCGAGTGAGCCTTTCATATTTATAATTTCTGAACTTGAATACAAATTAAAATATAGATTTTAATGACATTCATTTATAACATTTTGACATATGAATTTATTTTTCAGGTCAAGAACCCTTAGCACCAAAGGTTTGTACTTTTATTAATTCATAGGGACTGGGAACATAAATTTTAACTCCCTGTGAAGTGGGTTGAAGAAGAACATTCTGGGACCAGGTTTTGCAAGTCCAGATCTCTTTTATTTAGTAATAGATGCAGCATTTGTCTAAAATGAAATGGAGTTGAAGGGCATCTCTCTCCTTATATATTGAACAAAAACTATGAAGCTCTTGATGGTTCAATAGACTGATGGGAAAGGGCCTTTGGCATCAAAATTCTCAAGGCTAGAATTTCACATGTAAAACAGTTGTACTCTGACAACAAATGGGTCTTATGGCTTGTGTTGAAAGGTCATTTTCTATTCACCACTTTTTAAAAAAAAGGTTAACGGAAGTAAGTAAGTATGTCAACATTATATTCTTTCTACATGTATATGTATAACACGAACCTGAATGTCAGTATTACATGCAACAGGTAAATTTCAACGTTAGTTAATTTCTGCTGTTCTATGTGAGAAGTCGTAACTTTCTGTCAATAAACAATCCGTGACGTCATTTTAGTCCTTCTGCTCACGGAAATCGGCGGAAATTACTAATGTTGAAATTTACCTGTTGCAGGTAATATTGACATTCGGGATCTTGTTATACTTATGGACAGGATATGTTGATATAATTACTTGCATGATTTAAAATAAATTGAAGCTTTGCCTGTGACCTTTAATATCATGAAGATTTTTGTTCTTGCTTGTCCTATATCAGTGTTGATAAAATCATAATTATTGAATAATATGTACCATTTTTTTTTAGCCCGGGGGACAGTCGTTGGCACGGCAACCACAAGAACAAACAATCAAGCTAGCGGAAGTATTTGTACCTAAAGAACCTCCACCTGAATTTGAATTTGTAGTAGACCCACCTTCAATATCAGCATATGATCTGTAAGTTGACAAATAAATTTAAAATAGCATGTTAACGGCTCAATACCACTCTTGTTGTAACTGAATAATATGTCCCAATCTTTATTCTGGTCAACAAATTGTACTATTTTACAATATTCCAATTAATTGATGATACAAATTTTATCTTAACACACCCTATTTAAAAATTTTGAAAAATTCAACATAATGGTTTGAAACGTCTAACATAAACCTTTTCAAATGAAACTTCGATTTAAAAATATTTTCGAACCCTCTGGACAAGTAAAATAGGATGTAATGGATAATTTACACAACAGGTAGGACACTTAAACATCTAGTACTTAGAATAAGGCTATTTTTTATTTTCTGGAGCTTTCAAGCCAGCAAGAGTGTTATTGTCCCTTTAATTGCAGCTCAATCTTGTTTGTGTATATGATAAGTTCATCTTCATGAAAAAATGACCTGGTTGCTTACAAAATTTTCTATATCTACATGTATATATCACTGTAAACCAGTTATCATTTAATCTTGTGTATCCAGCACTAAATTCTTTCACATTCATTCAATATCAAATCTTTGTTTAAAATTTAGTAAAAATCATTTAAGATTACCAAAAATCATCTAATTTGTACTTGTGTCCAGATTAAAACTGGCTGATTGATTTTGATAATGAGTGTTTAATTTACAGTTTTTTACTTTTTTGACGTGTGTTGATATTTTTTGATATAAAAAAGACTTGTAGGAGATTCTCTATTTGACAACTACATATGGATTTTAATTCATATCATTATTTAGTCTCCAAGATGTTCAAAATACAAAATAATAATTCAAGATATTGAAGGTGAAAATATTCTCAGCTGTGTTTAATTGTTATTTGATATTTATAGGGATGTGGTCAAATTAACAGCACAGTTTGTGGCTAGAAATGGACGTCAATTTCTTACAACTGTAATGCAGAGAGAACAGCGTAATTATTTATTTGATTTCCTTCGACCACAGCACAGTTTATTCAACTACTTTACGAAACTCGTTGAACAGTACACAAAGGTAAGAAACTGCATAATTCACAGTATAAAAAACGTCCTACTGTTCTAATGAAGATGGGCATACAGTGTGCTGTGAGGGGAATTTTGCCCAGGCCGAGGCACTATTGCCTACTCTTATATCGAATTCCATCTGCCAAGGGATCTTTGACGTGCATGGCAAGGTATACTCAAGACCTCGGGTTTTTTTTGTCCCATCCGAACAACTAGACAGCTGTCCTTGTCTGGCCCTCCATCCTGCACCACCGATAAGGGAAAACGACATTGGAAAATCCTGATGAACAAAAATATGAACAAAAATATAGATAAATCACTCTGTATTTAAGAAGCTCTCAACTATTTTATAAATTATACACAAGTATTTTTGTTCATGTAGATACTTATTCCTCCCAAAAATCTACGGGAAAAGTTGGCCAAGGAATCGGAAACATATAAACATGTTTTAGACCAAGTGAAATACAGAGTAGAATGGGCTAAACATCAGGATAGAGAAAAGAGAAAGGAGGAGGAAGCAGTTGAAAAAGAAAGGGGTATGTTTCACATGAAAATTTTGTCTATAATCCTTTTGGGGGGAGGGGTTGGGTAGCCGAATGGTTAGAGTGTGTGTATCCTAAGGTCTGTTATTGAGTCAACTGGCATGGTTTTGATTCCCCGGTTGTACGTCATAAGGAGTTGGGTCGCCTATCCAACCTTGTGGGTTTTCTCTGGGTCCTCAGGTTTCCTCCCACTGCTAAAGAAACCTACACACAAGTGAATTATTGAAATAAGATTAAACCATATGTTAGTCCCGAAATGACCTAGTCTGTGTCGAGTGGATGTTAAACCCCATTTCTCTCACTTTCACTCATAAAAAATGCTAGATCCCTTGAAAAAGATTTTCGCAAAATAGTCCTCACTAATTAGATTTTCTGTAGTTTGGGAACAAATGTTGAAAATTTTCTTTTTATTTCTTCATGAGAAAAAGACAAGTTAAAAAACCAAAAGCACTTTGTTGTGCTGTTCAAGAGCTTTTGTTTCCATATTTGTTTAAGTTCGGAAATTTTAAACTAAAAAACTTTCAAGTGTTTCCATCGATTATTTTATTTATCAAAACCACAAGGAATTCAAAAATAAATTAGTTTGGCCTAAGGTCAGGGGCATTGTGACCCATGATTTTGCATAAGGAACAAGATCCCGTCCGGGACCCCAAAAAACCAATATTTATATGTGTGTGCGCGGGAGAGAGTGGGGTGGCAATCCCTCCCAGTGCCACCGAGTAATATTGGTCTGTGTGGAACATGCTAGAGTCGATTTGTAGCATATCTGACTCACGGTATATGTTTGATACTGGTTGAGCATAGTGATTATGATTATAATATTCAAAACCGAATGATTTTGGCGCAAAAACTGTAAACCGTGATGCAAAGTGCGTCAATGCGTCCCTCTCACTTAGCTCCTGCCTTAGGTAGAGTTAAAATGTTTGGACGAACCAATTAGATCTGAGTAACTACTAGTACTAGATCGTAAAATGATATATTCAGAGAGAAAAGACATAAGTATGCATTTGATAATTTGATAATGGGTCATAGAACCCACTATGAGATAAACTTGTTTTACGCTACCTGAATCTGTTTAACAGGAATAATATTATCTTCAAAAAATATCTGATTAAAGTACAGATCTATATTTCGTTGTGTTTTTTATACTTTCAATCGCCTACACTAGATGAAGATCTGACTGGTTGTAGTGGAAGGTCACGTCAGGGTCATACGAGCGACTTTTGATTATCAACCAGCCTTGAAGCCTCTAGGGTTTTACCCACAGTTCCGTGCACAGTATGCCAAGAACTCACCATAACAGACTGCTTCATTGGCTAATCCCTCACATTAGCCAGAACGCGGGTTATATAACAACTCTTCCAGATCCTACTGTAGTAAAGACAAGTAAAACGAAATGAAATAGGAGAGAGGGAGAGAGAAATGGGGTTTAACGTCCACTCGACAAAAACTAGGTCATTTCGGGACTAACATATGGTTCAATTTTATTTCCATAATTCGCTTTCACGTAGGGGTCTTTAGCAGTGGGGGGAAACTGTAGGACCCGGAGAAAACCCACAAGGTAAATGAAATAGGATCTGTGTTTTAATCGGATTTCTTCAAAAAATATCAAAGTATCTGCAGTGATTAACATCATGTAAATTTGTTAACTTTATGATCTCTATTTTAGTGGCATACGCATCTGTTGACTGGCATGATTTTGTTGTTGTTGAAACAGTTGATTTTCAACCTAACGAACAAGGTAGGTCATTATTTATGGAATCGGTTAGTCAGATTACGGTGGAATTATAAAACAATATAAGTATTACTATTGTATTTAAAAGGTCTAGTTGGCTGCTTTGATCCATTGCTGCATGTAAATTACTGGATTTTGAAATCCTGTTAACCAACCGTCCGACTGCTTAGATATATTCATAACCAAACACAGCACAAGGTGTATATAGATATAACTACGTACTTCTCTATTATTTAATAACACATGGTATATATGTATATAACTACATACTTCTCTATTATTTCATAACGACACATGGAAACATGACCTGTTTGTGTTATTACGTCTTTATTAAATAATAGAGAAGCAGTTATATCCATATACAGTGGACTCTGTCACTTCCGACATCCGAATACTACGGCATTCTGTGAAATCCGTCACCATTTTCATGTCCCAATATATTTCTTATTACTTCAACCAAAAAACGTTTTTACCCCAACACTAAGTTTGAAGACATCAAAAGAATGTGGTTTAAGGGCGTGGACAAAGGTACAATAATACTTCCAGTATTGAGGCAATTCAGTATCCTGACATATGTAATCCAGCATATTGTATTGAACCTTTACGATGTCGTAATTGACAAAGTCCACTGTATACTTTGTGTTGTGTTTTGTTATGAATAGTTAAATCTACCTCTAGATGTCATCTAAAGAATTGATTAGATATATAACAATTGATGGGTTTTGTGGACAGGAAGTGACAATAATGTCTTCACTTTCCAGGACTCTTGAAACCACTTGTAATTTATTTAACAACTTCCCTGTTGTCTTTTATTTGTTGATAAAACTATTATTCTATAACTCCTGTACTTGTTTTCATCTGTAATAACCTAATGTAATTATAATTTTAAAGGAAATCTTCCACCTCCGACAACACCAGATGAAGTTGGAGCTCGAATGTTGGCACAGGAGAGATTAGTTAAAAAGGTCAGATATTAAGCTTATCAAGATTGAGTTTTTCACTGGCATATTTTCATGGGGACGTATTATGTTGTCACCTCTGTCTGTTCACATTTGTTCTGTGGTCACTCTACAGGTCACAATTTAAATCTGATTGTACCCCAAAGATCTTGGTTCCTTTTGATATTAACATACACTGTAGGTTTACTGACACTCTGTCTGTATCGGCGACTACTATGAAATAAGTATGGAGATGGGAGGGGTATATCGCTAAATAGCGGGGCTTGTTTCATTGGCATGTTTTATAGATAATACCCAGCAGTTACTTTATTTATTGATTTAGGCGGTTGTATGGCCGAATGGTTAGTGCGTGTCAATGAGTCAACTGGTGGTATGTGACAAGGAGTAGGGTCGCTTGTCCAACATTGTGGGGTTTCTCCTGTTGCTCCGGTTTCCTCCCACTGCTAAAGAGCCCTATGCGCAATTGAATTATTGAAATAAAATTGAACCATGTTAGTCCCGAAATGACCTGAGTTGTATCACGTGAATGTTAAACCCTCTCTCTCTCTCCGTCTCTTGATTTACTGTGTAGTCCCAGAAAGGTTTGATTATTCAATTTGAAATTAACTGATATCTATCTTGTATGTAATCCTATGATTTATGTATATTACAGACTGTAGATCCAGATGAGATGGATGTAGAATCCGATGATGAATCGGATGATGGTAGTCAGGTAGCCGAAGATGAACCCAAAACTCAGGTATTTTAATGGCTAATATTTTAATGGATTCTATATAAAATGAAATGAAATGGAGTTTAACGTCTTACTGTTCTGCTCCTAACCTGGGCTAATGAAGATGGGCATACGCCATACAGTGTGCTATGAGGGAAATTTTGCCCGGACAGCGGCACTACGGCCTACTCTTATATCGAATTCCAACTGCCAAGGGATCTTTTACGTGCACGCCAATGTGTACACGGGACCTCGGTTTTTCGTCCCATCCGAACGACTAGTCAGCTTTCCTTGTCAGCCCCTCCGTCCTGCATCACTGACAAGGGAGAACCACGCCGGAAAATCTGGATGAACTTTCTCGGCCAATGCAGGGATCGAACACCCGACCTCCAGGCTAGCGAGCTAGCATCTTACCCACTTAGCCACGTGATCCCCGGATTCTATATAACCCTGATAAATTTGTGTACAGCGGCAGTTTAGTTGTTTTTAACTTCTTTACTAGCTATTGTAGTAGAAGGTTGCGTCAGAGGTCATACGAGCAGCTTTTAACCCTATGGCGCCAGACATTTGATTGACCAATCGGCGTTAATGTTTCTAGTGGGATACTCACAGTTCCGTGCATCTCACATCAAAAACTCGCTGTGACAGACAGTTTTATTAGATAATCCGTTACATCATCCAGAACGCAGGTTATATAACAACTCTTCCAGATCCTAGTGTAGTAAAGACAAGTATAACGAAATTTTGAACTATAAAAAATGAAACCAAATGGTATCTGTGTTTTAATCAAATTGTATAGTTGTTGATTATGCATGAGTAAAAGGTTTTAGTCAAACAAGAAAGAATGTCAGAAATGCAAATGTCAAAACACATTGAATATATCAATAAAATATGGCTGATATTAAACTTTTAAACCCTCACATGAAATTTGAGGTGATTGTTGTCTATTTGACTGTTATAAGTTATCATGATGATGATGTTATTATTATTATTGTTATGTTGTGTTCTTATTTTCTGTTAATCAGACTGTAGTTGAAGGTTCTGCTGGAGAATCGGAAGACGAAGAAGATGAGGAAGAGAATATCAGAATGCGTCGTCCAGCACCCCCTCCCCCTCCACCTCCTCCTCCTTCAGATGCCCCTCCAATGCCACCTACACCTGGTTCAGTCATCATCAAGAAAAATTACGATCCCAAAGGTTTGTCGATTTAACTTCTATTGTTTACTAAAATGTATCTGATTTCTATTTTTCTTGTTTTCTCTTATCTAATGACAGTCAATTATTTTTTATGAATTGTTAGATATCCTCCCACAGTCTCAAAAAACAACTTTTGGTCTTCTAAGGAATTATTAGTGAGCAGAAATTTGCCCATTTATCTGTTATCACCCGTCACTTCAGTCAGTTATATAGAGGGATAACTCATGTTTTGCTTTTGTCACTTCCCTTTCTCAAAATCTTCGTTACACATGTATTGTAGCAATGATCTGTGTGTTAGAATCATATTTGGAACAGTGTTTAACCAGTTCTATCATATATGTGATAATGACTGACACCAATATTGTCCTTTAAATATGTTTATATTTGTGTTAATTACAGCAAGAGCCGTTACTGGTGAACAGCCGTCAGATCAGTTTATGATATCACCTATTACTGGTGAGAAGATTCCAACAGATAAAGTACATGAACACATGAGAATTGGTACGTATAATTTATATTGTTTAATGATAAGTTATACAGGGGAGGATGGCCGAATGGTTACTGTGCGCGCGCTGTATCATTAAGTCAGTCATTGAGTCAACCGACGTAGTTTCAATTAACGGGTTGTACATGACAAAGAATAGGGTTGCCTATCCAACCTTGTCGAGTTTTCTCCAGGTCCTCCGGTTTCCTTCCACTGCTAAAGACCCCTACGAGCAAGTGCATTATTGAAATAAAATTGAACCATGTGTCGAGTGGACGTTAAACCCCATTTCTCACTCTCTCTCTCTCTCTCTCCCAAAGTATAAACTAAGATATATTTATGTAATTGAGAAAGACACCAAAATGTAGCTATTTAGTCTCTCCAAAAGTTCAAATGTGCTATAAATATAAATTGTGTTGTGTTTTTTTGTGCTATACATGTGTATTTATAGACACTAAAATGATCATATTAGTCTAAAACAGAATAATAAAATGATTTATTTAAATTAACTTAACTAGCCATAGACATTAAAATGACCATATTAGTTTCCCCAGAAAATAAAATGTGGTCTATTTATGGGACTAAAATGACTGTATTAGTCGACCCTTAAAGTAGCTAAGTCTCTAACTCAATATCATCCAAAGTCTTCCACATTGAGAACACGAATTATTTGTCAATTTAAATCAACATTGATGCAGTGATCTTACCGAAAAAATATGGGCTTCTGATATCCAATATTTAAGACAAAATAAACATTTTACCATTGGTACACGAATTGTGTACCATAATGCGTTTCAGCGTCATTTGTAATAAGGGACTCGAAAAACGAGGCTAGACATATTCCACAAGTTATGTCAAACGGTGACGCTATATTCTTATCTGGAGAGCATGCACAATAAATACTATCGGTGTAGACTGGAATAACCATACGCTAGAGATTCTCATTTCGATTGGGACTTCTGGCGTATTTCGCTGAACCTAACTGACTAGAAATTACAGTAAAAACAAAAACGATAGAATGTAAATCAATTTATATTGTTACATAATCAGATCATCTGATGTTAAAGACGCTTCCTGCCAACTTGACACCTGTCCTTTGGTCTATGTGATTATGTAATGATTATGTAAACGTTAACTTGCTGGCATGTTTTATTTAAACTTTCTTTGTCTGATTAGCATGTATCGAATGTTAAACTATATATGATACATTAGCCAGATGTCTAATAAGATTCCTTTGTCTGGAATGGTTTATAAACCCAGATTAAGAAACAAATAGAGACAGAGGTCCGGACAGGACACGAGAGCGGCGTCCATGGGCGCCTCAGCTCGGCAAGAGACGAAACGAGGAAGAGCGCCCGAGAGTTAAGCTAGGACAGGACTCCCTCAATACAAGTTAGTTATGGAGTCTTTAAGTTTTGTACATAATATGTTAGAAGAAGCAGAGAATAAAAGTATTTTAAGATGTTAAACTAGTCTTGTCATCTGAATCTGATTAAAGAACAAATACTGTCACAATATACATTCATATTACATTATTGTATGCGTTGCGACCCATTTGTGTCAATTTCTAGGTCCCAAATATTAGCCATTTAGCTCCTTTAAAATGACATTACTGCAGTCTTGATGGTTTTTTAGGGTTATTGAATCCTAAGTGGATAGAAGATCGACAGAGAACATTAGAAGAGAAGAGAGAACAAGAGGAAGTTTATGCTGCTGGATCATCTATTGATATTAACTTAAAACAACTGGCTGAAAGACGTACTGATATTTTTGGTATTGGTACAGAAGAAACACAGATTGGTAAAAAGGTAAATATTATCAATGAACCTCTTACTTAAAGCAGTGGACACACTAGCCGAATCATTCGGCCGAACCAATCGGCGCCGAATTTTATTCGGCCGAATGGGTGGACACGATTTATTGGTCAAATTAAATCGACATTGATGTTGTTGTCTTACCGTTAAAAGATTGGCTTCTGATATTCAATATTTAAGACACAGTGAAAATTTAATAATAATAATATCCCAAAGATCTCAGTCCCTTTTGATAATTGCGCATTTCAGACCATAACTTTCTGGATTATTGCCCCTGATTGTACAAAAATAGCAATTGTTTTTTTAACTTGTTCTCTATCCATCTCCTGCCAATTGTGGGCGTATCCTGTCTGGCAGCCGCTGGTTATTCACATGTATCTAATTTGATTATAAATTTATTTTTAATAATAGATTGGTGAAGAAGAACAGAAAGATAGGAAGATAGTATGGGATGGTCATACAGCTTCTATGGAGAAAGTCTCACAAAAAGCCAGAGAGAATATATCTATTGAAGAACAGATTGCTACCATTCATAAAGTTAAAGGCTTATTGTAAGTTGGATTACTGGGCCCTTATTCACGAAAAGTTAAACTAAGATACAATCGAAATTTTAAGAAATACTGCAATTTGATTGGCTGACCAGTAAAATCAATTTGCACATATCCAATGAAGTTGCAGTATTTCTTAAAATTTCGATTCTAAGTTTAAGTTTTCGTGAATAAGGGCCCAGTTTTAAAGTTTAATAATTTAAATTATATTTACTTGATCCTTAGTTTTAAACATGTTGGATCAAAATCTGCTTAAAACACAGATCTTATTTTGTTTCGTTTTTTTATAGTTCAAAATTACCTTTTACTTGTCTTTACTACACTAGGATCTGGAAGAGTTGTTATATAACCCTCGTTCAGAATGATGTGAGCGGTTAGCCAATGGAACAGTCTGTTATGGCCAGTTTTTGCCATAAGGTGCAGGGAACTGTGGGTAAACCTTAGAAACGTCAACACTTATTGATTAATCAATGTCTGACGTCATAGGGTCAAAAGCCGCTCTTATGACCTCTGATGCGACCTTCCACTACAACTGGTCAGATCTTCTTGTAGTAGAGGCCATAGAAAGTATAAAATTTATAGATCTAGGGCCTGTTTCACGAAATTTTAACTAAGATAAAATCCAAATTTAAGTAATTTGATTGGATAATATTAGATTGATTTTAGTGCTTAGCCAATCAAAATTGAAGTATCTACTAAAATTTGGATTTTATCTTTAGTTAAGATTTCGGGAAACAGGGCCTTGTATTTTAATTAGATAGATTTTAGCGCTACAGAATCCCTGGCAAACTACACTGTTGTGAAAGCTGAATTTCTATAAGGTATTTCAGTCTAAAAATAGATCAATTTAGTTCAGTATTTATAAAGATATGTTAAATTGAAAATTCATTGATCTATGCTGCTAGCTATGTAATAGCCTACTGCCATTTTGTTATGGTTGAACAGAATTGATAGGCCTATTTTCATTTCGATTGGATCCTGATTGGATACAGTGTATCTAAGAGTTTGTATTTTGATTTTGTTTTTTAATTAAATGTTAAATAATCACTCTGAGTACATATTAGCATAGATTAAGTGGTGAGAAATTTGATATTTTATATGACATCTCGTATTTATTTTTATTTTTAGACCAGATGAAGAAAAGGAAAAAATTGGACCGGCCATGCCTAAAAATTCACCAGCACCACCACCACCAAAACGGCCACCTCCTCCTAACACTCAGCCACCACCCCCTTCACAACCAGCTCCCCCTCGACAACCACCTGCTCCCAGACCGCCTATGATGCAGCATCAACCAATGATGCAACCCAATGTTATGGTTCTTCAGCAGAGACCACCCATGCCTATCATCGGTAAGCATTCTCTTATTTACATTACAATATGGGGGTTGGATGGCCGAATGATTAGCACGTTCACGCTGTAACTTAAGGTCTGTCATTGAGTCAACTGGCATGGTTTCGATTCCTCGGTTGTACGTGACAAGGAGTAGGGTAGCCTGTCCAACATCGTGGGTTTTCTCTGGGTCATCCGGTTTCCTCCCACTGCTAAAGACCCCTACGTGCAAGCAAATTATTGAAATAAAATTGAACCATATGTTAGTCCTGAAATGACCTAGTTTCTGTTAAGTGGATGTTAAACTCCATTTCTCTCTTTCTCCCTATTTACAACAAATTATAGCCAGGCGTATAAAATTTAGTCAGATGACCATTGAAATCTCTTGACAAAAGAACTCAAATTCAACATCAGAATAATTATGAAATTAGCCAAATTATTTTACTTTTATCCGAAGATAAGGGTCTAAAAATGATATTATTTTTCTTGTGTATTTCAGGTATACCAGGACCTCCCCCAATGGTACGACCTCAGATGGGCATGCCCCCAAATCCTCAACAATTTCATCGACCTCCAGCAAATGTTCAGCCACCTCCACCACCTAAGCCAAGTGATGATGAACCTCCAAACAAGAAAGCCAAGACTGAGGATAATTTGATACCTGAACAGGTGTTCTTGAAGAAGAATAAGGTCAGACATGTCACATTTATTTTATATTTCTTATCCAGAAGAAGTAATTTTATAAAGGAGCCACAATAGCTGAGTGGGTAAGACGCTGGCACGCTAGTCTGGAGGTCGCATGTTCGATCATTGTATTGGTCGAGAAAGTTCATTGTGCTTTTCCAGTGTGGTTTCCTCTTGTCAGTGGTGCAGGACGGAGGGCCGGACAAGGACAGCTGTCTAGTCGTTTGGATGGAATGAAAAACCATTCAGTGCACATAAAAGATCCCTTGGCAGTTGGAATTGGATATAAGAGTAGGCCATAGTGCTGCTGCCCGGGCAATATTTCCCTTATAGCACACTGTATGGCGTATGCCCGTCTTCATTAACCCAGTCGAAGCAGAACAGTAGGACGTTAAACCCCATTTCATTTCATTTAATTTTATAAATAGTATTGTAGTCAAAAATAGTTTTCGAATATTTTATAATTTCATTTGGTATTGTTTTCAGGGTCCTGTGAAGATTTCTGTTTCAGTACCTAAAGTGGCTGATAAACCAGAATGGTCTCTTAATGGACAGAAATTAGAATTTACATTACCTTTAACAGATTCGGTATGTTTAAGGTTTTTAATGAGATTGGTATGGTTAAAATCTGCTATTGAAACATAATTCCAATAAAAAAAAAATGATCACCAAAAAAACCTGAGATGTCACTGAGTATATATGGCGGAGATTTCGAAGCATCATCTGTTAATATCTGACCTTTTTGCAGGGGGGGGGGGGGCAGGTTTCTGAGACAATTCATCTTTTGGCGGGGTGGGGCATTGGACATCCATTAGTAAGGAAATTTGACAGTTGACATTGCAGGATGCCATCATCGTCAACAAATTACGTAGGCATACATACACACTGAGCTTTTTAAAGAGAGAAATCCAACACCCTGTTTGACGTCAGTTTTTATTTTGAATTAAAACGATCACATTGTGATTTAATTTCATTGATGCAAAGCGTTAATTGTGATATCACATGCCTATATCATTATTTCACGCTTTGAATGCCCATCCCACCATCTGATGATAAAGGATAAAGCACATGATCGTTAAACTTTTCTCATAAAAGTGTTGTTTTACAATTTTTTTTTATGTAGCTGAGCAGGGGGTTGAAGAGGTCTGTACCCCCCGCCCCCTCCTCTGGATGTGCCCCTGAGGTTATGTTAGAGATTCCAGAACATCTTATATAGTAAATAGTTATTATTTTAAGATAGGTATTTTTAGGGACTGGTTATTGGAAATGTATAATAATAGATACCGGTAATAATTTTCAAAATAATGACTTTATATATTTTTTTTTTTTTTTCAAGGTGTCTGTAATTAAAGCTAAGTTGAATGAAGCCCTGGGTATGCCGGCTGGTAAACAAAAGTTACAATATGATGTAAGTATCTATTTATTTTATGTATAAAAACTTGTATAGCCAAATGTAAACTATATCTGAATATCTTATCATATACGATTTTGTAAATCTCTAAAACATCCAGGCCCAAGATATTACTAAATTTAATTTTAAGTAGCAACTAGTCAGGTATATGCTTACTCAATCTATAATTTCTGCTACCACTTCTCCCAAGGGAGCGACAGTGGCTAAGTAGGTAAGACGATGGCTCGCTAGCCTGGAGGTCGCGTGTTCGATCCCTGCATTGGCTGACAAAGTTAATCAGGATTTTCCGACGTTTTCTTCTTGTCAGTGGTGCCGGAAAGAGGGCCTAACAATGACAGCTGGCTAGTCATTCGGATGGGATGAAAAAAACGAGGACCCGTGACAGTTGGAATTCGATCATAGCACACTGAATGGCATATGCCCGTCTTCATTAGCCCATTTGGAGCAGAACCGTAGGATGTTAAACCCATTTCATTTCATTTTTCCACTTCTCTCATTAGAGGAATTCACATCATGTCTGTGGTCTAATATAACAAAGCTTGCTTCCTGTCGGCTCTGCTTCTCTGACTTGCTTTGTTGAATTTTTCTTTTTTAGATTTCTTATAATATTCTCTTAAAATATGTTTCTTTTTTATTTTCAGGGTATATTTATCAAAGATTCGAACACACTTGCATTTTATAATTTTAATAATGGAGCCACCGTAGACTTACAAGTCAAAGAAAGAGGAGGAAGAAAAAAATAAACCGAATATTTGACACTGTATAGAAAACAATTTGGTCTGTGAATATTGAATAAAGTGCTTAGAGAACTTGACCAAATATCACATGACATTTACAATGTGACTGAAATTTTAACAAAGATAAATCAATCGATAAATATTTTAAATATTTTCATTGTCGCATAAAATATAGTGTTTCATTGTAGCTGGGAGCAATCTGATTAAAATACCCATCTATATTTCATTTCATTTTTTTTATACTTTCGATGGCCTCTACTACATGAAGATCTGGCAAGTTGTACTGGAAGGTTGTGTCAGGGGTCATATGGGCAGCTTTTGACCCTACGACGTCAGACATTGATTAATCAGAGTTGACGTTTCTAGTGGTTACCCACAGTTCTGTGCACTGCACGCCAAGAACTCGCCATAACAGACTGTTTCATTGGCTAATCCCTCACATTCAGAATGAAGGTTATATAACAACTCTTCCAGATCCCAGTGTAGAAAAGAGAAGTAAAATGAAACTTTGAACTATAAAAAACGAAATGAAATAGGATCTGTGTTTTAATCTGATTGAGCTGGGGGTGTTTTATGAGGTTTATATCATTGACACTGGTGGTGAAACCTTCAAAGTTTTGAGATAGACGGACAATTGTTGTTGTTGAAATAATGTACCGGTATACGTTATTAGGGTTTGTGAGTTAGTACCATCCAGTACCTAATGATCCAGTAATAGAACACATAAATTCCTTTAATGTTTTAATAGAGAATTTAAATTCACATCTTATTGTCATTAATTCTGCAACATTTAATTGCATCTGCCTGCTAAGAAAATATATTTCTTGTTTAGTAAAGAATCATGAGACAATCAATGTATAAAAATTGTTCAAATTGTACTCAATAGTTTTATTTGATCATTTGTCAATGCTGTAGGGATTTAAAACGTCAATAAAATTTATAGAAATAAATATGTTTCTTTAAGTAGTTGTGGGGGGTTGGATGGCCGAATAGTTAGCGTGTGCGGGCTGTATCATAAGATCTGTTATTGAGCCAATTGTAGTGTCAGTGCCTAATTGGTTTGATTGAGGGGGGTGGGATGGCCGAGTGTCAGTGAGTCAACTGGGGTGGTTTCGATTCACCAGATGTACGTGTCCAACCTCGTGGGTTTTCTCCAGTTCCTCCCATTGCTAAAGATCCCTACACACAAGCGAATTATTGAAATAAAATTGAACCATGTGTTAGTCCCGAAATGACCTAGTTTGCATCAAGTGGACGTTAAACCCCATTTCTCTCTCTCTCTCTCTAAGTCACCAAGATGTCTATTAAAGAAAAACAAAATTGATTAACTTGTGGCTAGGCCTAAAACTTTATGGTGCAATTTTATGCGTCATAGAATGTTTTGATATGGAGCGAACATTTCTTGTTAATATGGCAATATTATACTGATACACAAGTTCGACTATGTAAGCAAAATTGATTTTGTGTTTAGGACACAGACCAATGCTTCGAAAACGATGTAAAATAAACTGCAGAATTTGATTCACAAAACAGACAACATGAAACAAATGGTAAACAATTACCATGGTCATATAATGTGGCTTATACATGTACTAGCCTAGACATCCTCGGTATTGCCAGTGGTCTCATTCCGGAGTAGAACGGAATCAGACCACTGGGAATACCGAGGATGTAGCCTTTGTATCATGAACGTTGTTATGCTTCTTCATACTTGTGAAACTCATTAACAACTCATATAAGTTTAATGTTTATTAACGAATCACGCAAGTCTTACAATAAGATGTTGATCGAAGTGTGTCTTCCCGAAGAGTGAGATATACAAGGTCACATGTTAAACAGATTAATTACCACCTGAGTAACTCATTATACCATGAGTAATAATATACCACCTGAGTAACTCATTATACTATGAGTAATAATATACATATTATGACAAACGTCAAGCACAAATCATAATATAATAAGAGGATAGCATATTCCTGAAGCAATGGCCCGAGAAACCCCTCTCTGGCCATTGCTGGATTGGCCTATGATACTTGAACTTTTGAGGGAGTGTGTCTATTCTTCCCGTTCAAATCAAATCTATGTGATTCTATGTAGGCCTACAATTACTTGTGGTAAACAATTTAAGTGTTAAGTTTATGGTATTGTAATATACCTTTCTAAATGTCATAGCAAAAATACTATTTTGCTCAATTTTCAGTTGCAATAAGCTTTTAATAAAACAGTAAGTTTAATACTGTTATGCTTTTCAAAATCACATTTCCCCTTTTACTGGTAGGCCTTAATCCGACCAATAAAATATTTACTGAAGCACTATCACTAGTTTTAAACCATTCAGTAATTCAAAATAATTTTAATTTACTCTGTGATTATCTAGTAATAGTATGCTGTATGGTTAACTTCAGTTTGCATGGCAGATAATTCCATAAATAGTAGGCCTACACAGTATAAACTAAATTTTCTATTTCCTAAATAATCAGTTGACAAAAAATCACAAAATAAAAGTAACTCTGAACACAGATCAGACCTAATGTCATGAATATCTAGAGCAAACTTCAGATTTATAATAATCTAATATATTCTTGTGCGATGTGCAGTAGTGTAAAATGGATAATTTCATAGTATTAGGGGGCCTATAAAGGCCATCAAAACATTACATGACACCAAGAGCAATATGCAAAGTATTCATTCTCAAGTTGTTTTTGGTTTATACTTGTTTGTAAAAAGAGAAACCAATCAACTCAAATAATGTTTATTGAAAAATGTTAAAGGCCTATTTAAAATAGAATTTTAATATCGTTAATTATTTTATTTTTAAAAAATGAAAGCCTACATTAATTAAACATACATGATGCAAGAGCTAAATCTGTCTATTGCAGGTCTTTCTTTAGGCCTGAAATGTTATCTTAATTATTCATTAGACATTAATTAACTTATCCAGACCATAACCAACTCTAGATGGCATCGCTAGCCTGCGATCTTATAAGTGGATTGTGATCCGATTTACTGCATAACTTTCCTTCTCGATTAAACGATTAAATGGATAATCGAGACTATGCTGATTAACGTACTGACTTTAGTAATGATGACCGAGGCTAGGCAGAAATTTAATTCGCTTAGTTCTCGGTTCATAGTGGATCAATTTGAATGAAATTTCAGCAAATTGCCTTTACGTTATCTAGTTTTTAATTATTATAGTGAGAACTGCCAACTCGTTATCGAATCTCCCATAATGTATCTTTAATAGAACAAAAATCATAAAAGCACACAGTGAGTCGACGCTGGAGCCAAAGGTATTTTATCTTGGAAAACGCTAAAACGGTTATACTCGTCCCACGCTTTATCTATCTATGCATGTTTTAAAAATATGAATCATGTTTTATAAATTCCCGAAAAACACACACAACTAACATATGATTGTATGTGATAATTCTTGGTAGTTTTGTTACCGAAAATAATATAAAACTACGAAATTAAAGAGATTTAGTTCATCGATGATATAGATATCATTGAGCGAAGTGTCAGTGTGTGTTTATTACAGACAATTCCCAAGATGCATTGGGGCTATACTATACCGGAAAACTACCGGAAAACACCATGTTATACTGAATACCGGAAAACCACTAAATACCGGAAAACACCCTAAATAGGTAACCTGGAGAAGGGCTATACTATAAACCGGAAACTAACCCAGGCACACAGGACCAGGCTCCCGGTTACCTATTTAGGGTGCTAGTCTCCGGGTAACCTATTTAGGGTATTTTCCGGTATTTAGAGCGTTTTCCGGTATTTAGTGTTTTACCGGTGTTTTCCGGGATGGCAGTTTCAGATGGTTCCTGGTGTGTGATTACCGTTTGGCGCATGCGCAGTTGTAGGAGTCAACTCACACCGTTACAGTCGCGGTGTGCATTGACTCCTCGTGATAGGATTTCCCCTAAGATATTCTTACGGTCAAATCAATATGTAGACTATTATGTACCGATATTTACAGTATTACCACCACGAGAGGATGCAAATTGACGATCTTTATTATTATTATTTAGTATATACCCGTCCACAATGCGAACATTCTCTCTTGTATTTGGGCTGTCTACATGCATGTTTGAATGTATGGGATGGTATAATAAATCTATATTTATGTTAAAGAAATCGGAATAAGAAATTGCATACTTTTATATTTGTGATAAATGAAGCCACGAAATATCAAAGGCCTTAATCTTCCTTTGGAGGTGAATTAATTAATAATTTCAAGCCAATCATCAATTTGTATGGTTTCCACTGATCGTACGTGTGTAGAACGACTAATCACTAAAAAAAAAAAAAACGCAACAAATCACGAACGATAGAAGTATCAATTTCAAGCCAATCAACTTAGATCCGTTGATCGTGTAACTACTCATCACTAAATCAACAGCTAATCACGATAACAAGTATTTTTAATAATGACAAAACTCTAATCAAGTACATGATATACTTTTTCCTGTACTGCAAGGAACCAACTCGCACCGCAGGAAGCAGACATAGTTTCGTTGTTAAGGCAAACATCAGTTTCAGACATGCGCAAGTGCCCAGGAGAAAACACCCACCTGGAGTCAACTCAAACTATCACACCGGTATTCAGTATAAAATGTTGTTTTCCGGTTTTTTTCAAGTGTTTTCCGGTATATAATATTGCCTGATGCATTGCGCATCGCTGTGTTTCTATGACTATGGGCGGGCCGTAATGCGAGTTGCCACTCTGGTTATTTTAACTCAGTCAGTGGTATAATCAAACGAAACACTGCGAGGAGAGGATATATAACTAGGATAGTGTGGCAATGCAACTTTAGTTCTGTACAACCCCAGTACCATCTATTGCAGTAATTCGATGTAAGACAATCTGAATGTGCGATAAAAAGAAGCGCCCACTGGCTTATTTCCATCATAACGTGTATTTTTGTGGCGCGAAACGTTCACCTTTTTTGGGCATGAAAAGGGAATTACCTCCCTTTATTCAGAACAATTTATAAAACAGTAAAAACAAAGTCACAAAAGGTTGCCCTTGGCTTTGAAAAATATTTTAATTGAAATAAGATTTATATTGTTTTTACCTAGATCTACAAATGCCTCATTGCTGCTCAATATTTCGATTTCTCACACGAAAGAAGGTACGATAATTTCGTTTCGCACATACATCGGGGCGTGATTTTGAGAATACCAGAAGTTGCATGAAAAGGTAAAGCGAAACTGGCACCGATGAAATTCATGTATTTTTGAGAAATAAGCACGTGTATTTGCTTTGCGCCAGCAAACCACGGTTTTACTTTTACACAACTACCCCTGTCCCTTGTAGAAATAGTTCAATGATATCGACTGTTGGAGCCGGGGAGTTTTATTTTTGTTGTCATCGCGACCCATTCAAATAACAGCTCTTCATCAGCAAAGTCCAGAATCTACGGGGACAGACCTACACAACTCAAGTGGATGTGACTAAACGTAAGGTGTACGTAGTAAAGTGTCAAGGGAATTGTAGTAGTGTGACAAGAATTACCTTTAATGGTAGCTTTAGAAAGGGTTAAACAAGCTCCTGTCGAATTAATTGAAATGTTCTGTCTGAGTCTCCCCATGCCATAATCATAATCCTAATGAAGACAATTGTTTCTTACCAATCATATCGATTCATAAACATATTTTATTTGGATTGGATGGTAGACAACTTGTCTGACAAGGCAATAAAGCAGTAAAATGGATGAAGAAAGTCTGAAATGTTCCATAGAACTATACAAGTCACAGGTTAATAAATCTTCTTTTTGTCTTAACATACAGAATGTAATTGGCTATTAATAAATTATAATATTGGTAGTGGTACTAGTTCTAGTTCTGCTCTGAACGTAGGTCTTATTACACTCGCTCTGTACGTTCAGGAAACGTCCTATTGAATCCTTGTTGAAAAGGTTTCCCTTCCCAGTCAATTTTACTGGGCAACTTTTCACAGGGGTATAGATTAGAAATGGTTCCACTACTGATGTCTTCCGTCTTACTCCAGCCACAGTAGTGGCTCGTCCTACGGAGATCCTTTGCGCAAGTTTTTTAGTCAAATGACTACAAAAAGGTTACTGGCCTATATAGCTCCCTTAATTTACACATAAACTGACCCAAAACTGTACTGCACATAGCTTAACATATAATAAACCAATTCCATTGAAATAAAGGTGAAGCCTTACCGCATAATTATATGATTTGATGAAACCCAACTGCTACGTGAAATTTCTTGCCTATCGAAATTATAATGTCCGCCCGTGTGTCATGGCGGCTTGCACATTATAAGAAACATCGCTTTGAAAATGTAGAACGCATTACTACAAAGAAAAACTGTTCAGTAACTATTTTAGTGGTCCAAATGATGTGTGTTAATAGTTGTGCGTTTACTTTGAACCTATTTAAACTTGCGTAAGGAGTCTTAGACTGTATCGGGGGGTTGGATGGCTGAATGGTTAGCGTGCGCGCTGTATCGACATAAAGTCTGTCATTGAGTCGACTGGCGTGGTTTCGAATCCCCGGTTGTACGTGACAAGGAGTAGGGTAGCCTTTCCAACCTCCTGGGTTTTCTCCGGGTCCTCCGGTTTCCTCCTACTGCTAAAGACCCCTACGCGCAAGTGAATTATTGAAATAAAATTAAACCATATGTTAGTCCCGAAATGACCTAGTTTGTGTTGAGTGGACGTTAAACCCCATTTATCTCTCTCTCTTAGACTGTATCAATTGTATCGTTATACACATAATGCTATAACTTTCTAGCTAACAGGGGTAATGAGACCTACGTTCAGAGCTGAACTAATATGGTACCAGATACTAAAAGAAGTCTACATTCGACAGCCCACAAGGTTATCAGTCTAAAAACTAGGCCATAGGAGGTTGGCATTCTAAAAATATTTTAAGCCAATATAATTATGGTGTGTATTCAATATGCTAATGTAATTGTTGATTGTTTGTTAGCTAAATAATTATTCAAAATTTTCCTGTGCTCCATTTCAACCATCCCAAATGATAGAATAGTAATCTGTAATAGGCATTTGGTAACTGGATAAAGCAATGGACTCTTAACACATGGAAAACCAGTTACCAGGTACTACAATTTATTTGGGCAACATTTCAAAGAGTATTCTTTTATATTATACCAGCAAATCATGAAATCATTACATGACAATAAAATCAAGGGACTAGGACTCAATAGGGTGATAATCTACAAAGGCACTAATCAACTTAATAGCCACTGAGTAGGGCTGGCGAAAAATATCGATATAGACGATTATCGCCAGCGACTATAGGAAAATATTGATAACGATATTCAGTTCTTGATATTGATACTCAAATAAAAAATAAAGGAGCTTCAATAAAATGAAATTAACGGAATATTTTGTGTCAAATAATCACCGTCATATCATTCAAAACATGTTAAAACTGAAAATACACACACTAAGGTACATCCACCGCGCCGGTAATTTTTGTGGTCGTTTACAACAATGACAAATTAAAAAATAATTAATCAATTGTTCAGGGGAAATAACTCGATTTTAATAGAAATTTATTTATTGTGATAAGCAGGCGAGGAAAATTGTCAATACTATATTTTGTTAATAACACCATCAGATAAGTTGTGAACGAAACAAACATTAAGAAATTATAGTTTGAGGATCATAGTTTTTTTTTATTTGAAAAATAACACATTTAAATGCATTATATAAGCATACATGTACAAACAGTTATTTCTTTCAACTTCAAATTTTCTGATATATCGATATCCATATTGCCGAAATGGTTGCCGATATCGATATCTAAAAATGGTATCAATTGCCAGCCATACCACTGAGTAGTTGATAATTGATAATGAGTCTACCAATAATTAATACTGAATAGTCACAACAAGAAATGGTAACGTCACCCAAATAAATTAGCACCGGTAACTCTTTTTCCATAAGTAAGTGTTGTATAGTTTTTTGATCAAATTGGCTAGGCGGGTAAGATGTTGGGTCGCTAAATGGCGGTTTGGTGTTCGATCCCTGCATCGGACCGAGAGAGTTCATCCAGATTTTCCTGTCCTTGTCACTGGTACAGAACAGAAGGCCTGGCAAGGGACAACATATAGTCAATTGGAAGGGACAAAAAACGGAGTTCCCGTGTACACATTGGTATGCACGTAAAAGATCCCTTGGCAGTTGGAATTTGATATAAATATTAGGCTGTGTAGTGCTGCTCAGATACATATATGAATTTGTAGGCAAGCCTTCCTGAGCCATCCTGGAGGTAGATATACATGGCACATAAAAGCGACTATTATAGTAAAAAAACCTCACATAACATAGTGGTGCTTGACATTGTATTTTTTTTACTTAAAGTTAAATCAAGTTGAACAAGCCATTGAAGCTGCAGGGGAAACAGATGACATGGTAAAATTAAAAGATGATTTGAAGGAATTAATAGCATTGACGGAAGGTTAGTTGTAAAGAAAAAATGGTAAATTATTTCACTTATAAAGCATGAATCATCAACTTTGAAAGCTGTGGCAGTCTTTATTGTGTGATGTGTACATATATTAAATAAAAAAACCCCAACAATCTACGTAAAAATGAGCATTTAATAGAAATGTGAATCAACTAAGATCAATCACAGGAAGAATATAAAAAGCATATTTAAATATATTTACCGTATACCCTTTAAAATTATTGTACTGGACAGTTCTCCTAAAAGTGTAGTTGGCGTCTATCCGTTACTGGATGATCCTATACACAACTAATATGAAAATAAGGATTTTCCCTCCATCTCAAATCTTGTTTGTGTTTTTGGATCGCAAAATTCTACATGAAACTAGTTTAGATTATTATAAATTTGTGTCGGAGGTGGCAAGAAATGATTCCTTTTGGTGAAAAAATAAGAATCACAGTGAAAAATAGACAGTAAGCATTCCAAAATAACCTTAGAACCGAGATGGGGGAGGGGGGGTCGGAGGCAGGAAGCCTTATTTTCATATTAGTTGTGTATAGGATCAGCCAGTAACGGATAGAGGCCAAAGCCAATAAGGATCTGTTTCGAAAGTAACTATTAAAAGTCATGCAATGCTTGTCTGATTCAACGCCAAATGAATCTCTGAATTATGTTAATACATGTAATGACTGAAATGAATTCATTAAGGCAGGACACTACCTAAGAATTTTACATTGATAACAGAAACTTGCCATTTAGTGTAATATTAGTATATGATGTCCCAAATCAGATTTGATAATTTGAGCGCAAAATGTTTATTTGTTGTCATGGAAATGGTGGCCATATTGGATTTTTTTTATATATTCACTGTGGCTATGTTAGGAAATCAAAATCTTCAACAATTTTATTGAAACAAACTATTTGTGGTTTGGAATAACATATATAGGCATTAAAGAGTGCAATAAGGCATAAATTTTACTATTTGAATGTTAATAAAGAACATTATGCATCCCACATAAAACAAGTGGGTGTGGCCGAACACACCACTAAAAGGATTTTGTACAATAAAATGTCCAAATGTATAACAAACACTTTGAAAATCACCTTATTGCAAACAGTAGCTATAGCACTAATCGTATTCCAAAGATGAGACCATTATCTCTCATAGATTTTGAGAATTTGATTTTCTAAGACCTGATATGGGTGAAAAATTGAGTACGGAAAAAAGCAAGTTAAAAGTTAAAAATTTGATTTACCTATACAAATGACTAAATATTTAACACTATATAATATAAAGGCTGGACATGACTTGAAAAATCAACAAATTTTAACTATTTTGGGCAATTTTAGCTGATATCAAAATTTGACAGATCAATCTATACAGAGTGTTTTATAAGGTAGTGTCCTGCCTTAAATTGAACGCTCAGGGCTAGCCTATTGTGAGAAGATCCTTGTTATATGTAATAACTGTAGTAATTCTGTTTAAAATATTTTATAGATAGCCTGTTGTCTTTATTGAAAGGACAGCTATTACAGTCTATAGAATCTACAACTACTACCACTACTACAGTAGATGATGAATATGCTGCATTTCAGGTATAGTATCAGGATTTTATAATTTTATTAACAGTAGTTTTGAAATAGGGTACACCCACCCTCTAAACACAGCTTAAAATAGCTAAGTCTCAAAACTCAATATCATCCACAGTCATTGACATTGAAAACACGAATTATTGGTCAATTTAAATCTACATTGATGTTATCTTAAAAGATGGGCCTGAAGCACCTTGATGAACAAGGCTAAACATACCCTATGTAGGAGACTACTACCGGTGTAGACTTGATATTTAGTGTTATTTTATCTAAGTTGTCATTCTTATATCTACCATAGGTGTGTTGAGTGGCCGAAAGGTTACTGCATAGCTGTATCATAAGGTTTGTCATTGAATCTACTCGCGTTATAAGGAGTAGGAGCGGCTGTCCAACCATGTGCGTTTTCTCCATTACCTCTGGTTTCCTCCCTCCGCTATAGACCTCTACACATAAACGAATTATTGAAATAAAATTGAACCATATATTAGTCCCGAATTGACCTAGTTTGTGTAGAGTGGACGTTAAACCCAATTTCTCTCTCTATCTATATCTATCATATATTTGGTTTGTACCATTTCCATGCTGTGAGCAAGATTGTTTTATTGTACGTACACCAACTCATGTTAATGTCGTCGTATAATGTCATTTTTGTCCATCCGTCTAAACTCATTCAGTGAGCAAGATTGTTTTATTGTATGTACACCAACTCATGTTAATGTCGTCGTATAATGTCATTTTTGTCCATCCGTCTAAACTCATTCAGTGTTTTTTAGAGTTATTTCCCCATAGTCATTATTCAGCATACCAGCCCTTAATCCTTGTGTATAATTAAAAATGGGGACAAAACGTTACAGATGACCAAGCTGTTGGTGGGCGTATGTTACCTTGTCTGGCATGTAGTATTTGATTCATACTGCAGGTAAGACAGTTATGAATAATTGATAATGTTGTTACATGTTTTTTATTTATTATAGGAGGCTTTAGGAGAAGATATAACAAAAGATGATTCAATAAGTCAGGATACAGGCAATACAATACCAGGTGAAGATACGTCTGTCGATGAAAGTTTAGAAGAATCTTTGTTAGAGCTCCAGGGGATGAGATGTCGAGCACCATTCCAACATGATTGGGGATGCCTAGCTTATTATAATGCACTTATACATTCTGTAGATCCAGTTTCACACAACACTCAGTGTCCTATGGTATGTGTATTACAATATTGATTTCTTCACAAGATAGGGGGTTTGGGTGGCCAGAGTTCTGTCATTGAGTGAAGTGGCGTGGTTTCGATTCCCTGCTTGTACGTGACAATGAATAGGGGGGCTGGATGGCCGAATGGTTAGCACGTGCGCGCTGTATCATAAGGTCTGTCATTGAGTCAACTGGTGTGGTTTCGAATAACTGCTTGTACATGACAAGGAATAGGATCGATCCTGTCCAACCTCTTGGGTCTTCTCCAGGTCCTCCAGTTTCCTAACACTGCTAAAGACCTCTACGCGCTAGTGAATTATTGATATAAAATGGAATCATGTTAATTAGTCCCAAAATGAGCCAAGTTATGTAGTGACGTTAAACCCTTCTATCTTTCTTCACATGTCATGGGAGCCAGGTTCTCTCGGTGATTATGGCTCTGGTTCACTAACTAAGAGGTGTTTTAACTATCATTCTTCTCTCTCTGATGTGCTTGCTAAGGTTCACAAATAGATTCTGTTCCTTGCCATGGGAGCCATGGTGGCTAAGTGAGTAAGATGCTGGCTCACTAGCATTGACCGAGAAATTCAATCAGGATTTTTTGACGTGGTTTCCCATTGTCAGTGGTGGAAGACTGAGTGCCTGTCTAGTCGTTTGGGTGGGACGAAAAAGCAAGGTTCCGTGTATACATTCGTGTGCATGTTAAAGATCCCTTGGCAGTTGGAATTTGATATAAGAGTAGGCCATAGTGCCCCTGTCCGGGCAAAATTTCCCTCATAGCACACTGTATGGCGTATGCCCGTTTTCATTAGCCCAGTCGTAGCAGAACAGTAGGACATTAAACCCCATTTCAGTTCCTTGCCATAATCTTTGTCCTGGACCACGGACATGGGCAAATGATGAAAAATACTAAGGAACTGCCTCGATCAGTACTAGCGCCTTACCGAGCTACTGTGACTCCCTGTGTCAAGGGATCTTTAACGTGCACGCCAATGTGTGCACGGAACCTTGGTTTTTCCATCCCATCTAAACGACTAGACAGCTGTCCTTATCAGGCCCCCAGTCCTGCATCACTGATTAGGGAGAAGCACGCCGCAAAATTTGGATGAACTTTCTCGGCCAATGTAGGGATCAAACACCCGACCTCCAGGCTAGCGAGCCAGCAGGTGGTTGAAATAATACCAAGAACAGGATTGGATAGGATGCTGTATATAAGAATACGGTACTGTTGTCTATTTTAGGTTAATGTAATGTTTTGTAATCCAACCCACAGTTCTATGGCAGTGTGTCCATTTTATTTAGAGGGAAGATGTAAATTTAGTGACGAAGATTGCCGGTAGGTTTTGATCATTCAATTTTAGACAATCTAATTGAAACAAAGATCCTTCGTTCATTCCTAGAGTTTTACGTCCAATTCCACCTAAGGTGATATCGTAGGCAAATACACAGATCCTATTTCGTTTCGTTTTTTTATACTTAAAAATTTCGTTTTACTTGTCTTCACTACTCTAGGATCTGGAAGAGTTGTTATGTAACATTACGATCTGGAAGAGTTGTTATATAACACTAGGATCTGGTTAATGTGAGGGATTAGCCAATGAAGCGGTCTGTTACGATCAGTTCTTGGCTTATTGTGCACGGAACTAGAAACGTCAACGTTGGTTGATTAATGTCTGTCGTCATAGGGTCAAAAGCCGCGCGTATGACCTCTGATGCGACCTCCCATTACAACGGGTCAGATCTTCATGTAGTGTAGGCCATCGAAAGTATAAAAAAACGAAAAGAAATATAGAGCTGTATTTTAATCAGACTGGTTGTACCATATTGATCTTTAGAAAGTTAGGATGTATGTCCTCAAATAAACTGTCAGTAAGTTTTGTACTTTGCATGCTAATATATGGATTTAATATATAAAAGTATTCCCTGTCTTCATTGGCCAAGTTGGAGCAGAACAGTATGACGTTAAACCTCATTTCATTTCATAAAAGTATTCCGAATTTGTAGTAGTTTGATATATGCATAATTCTACTAAAATTTCATTACAATCTGAATTGATATAATTTCAATAATTTGAATATATATAGGTCTGTGATCTTAATAATTAGACGATTGAAATCTAATTTGCATTGTTTTCTTATATTATTTTTTAGAAATAGTCATGGTTATCCTGTCAAACTAGAAGACCTACAAGAATATCAGGAACCAAATTATAGGTGAGAAAATGATACTGGATCTTGGGGGATTGGATGGCTGAATGGTCTGTCATTGAGTCAACTGGCATGGTTTCGATTCCCCAATTGTATGTGATAAGGAGTAGGGTCGCCTGTCCAACCTCGTGGATTTCTCCAGGTCCTCCGGTTTCCTTCCACTGCTAGAGACTCCTACGAGCAAGCGAATTATTGAAATTATTAACCATATGTTAGTCTTGAAATGACCTAGTTTGTGTCAAGTGGACGTTAAACCCCATCTCTCTCTCTCTGGTTTAATTGGGTCATCATACCGATCAGTGCAGTTCAACCATAGTTTATGTAATAGTTATTGCCCTTAATTCAGAGAACTTCTAAACCTGTTAGATAGAAAGATTATTGATTACGCTGTGCAGAAGTCCGATAAAAATTTTACACATGGATGGAAAACCTTGATACTGGTCTCGGTAATGTACCCACCACCAAACTCGCTATTTAAAAATGTAATCACTTATATAATTATATGTGTACTCTAAAAATGTATCAGATTAGTCATGATTCTGTTTACAACTTTAGTGAACTTTAATCAGGGGATCATCCCTTTTTATACGCCCACATGGTTGTATATTGTCGACGCCCCTGTTCGTCGGTCTGGCATCCACAATTGCTTGTAGACCCTCTGGAGGCTAAAGTTAATATCCGATAGTTATGGCCAGAGTTATGGCCCTTGATCTCTTTGAAATATCTCGTGGACACTCTACAGGCTAAAGTTGATATCCATCCGACTTAACTGCTGTAGGCATATGTTTTGTTGCCTGGCAACTTATCTTTAACTGAGTGAAAGATTGCCAGCCAATAACATCTTTTTTAATCTGCTTATATTAGTATTTTTTTTTTTTAATTTTCTTTTAAGTTTTGCGATAAATATGTTGATCCTAATATTTATTGATTAAATACCATATACATGGGGGATCACGTGGCTAAGTGGGTAAGACGCTAGCTCGCTAGCCTGGAGGTCGGGTGTTCGATCCCTGCATTGGCCGAGAAAGTTCATCCAGATTTTCCGGCGTGGTTCTCCCTTGTCAGTGATGCAGGACGGAGGGGCTGACAAGGAAAGCTGTCTAGTCGTTCGGATTGTACGAAAAAACCGAGGTCCCGTGTACACATTGGCGTGCACGTAAAAGATCTCTTGGCAATTGGAATTCGATATAAGAGTAGGCCATAGTGCCGCTGTCCGGGCAAAATTTCCCTCATAGCACACTGTATGGCGTATGCCCGTCTTCATTAGCCCAGGTTAGGAGCAGAACAGTAGGACGTTAAACCCTATTTCATTTCATTTCATTTCCCATATACATGGTTGTTTTTAACATATTATATAATGTTTTATTATATTTATTTGTATAGTTTATTAAAGATTGATACTAAATGTTTAGCTCAATATGAAGATGGTTTATGGTACAAGGCTACAGTTATAGATATGAAAGATCAAAAGATACAGGTTTTATTTGATGAATATGGTGATAAAACTTCTATAGGTTTAGAACACATTCTACCAATAGGTAAGTTTGTGACACTTCTAATTAAATGTGCGCAATACTGACCTAGAAATATCAGTTCTATTATTATCCCGCGCCAAACAAAGTTGGGGAGGGATATTGAAATGGGGTGCGGCCACCCCTTTTTCGTTTCTGGAGCATATCTCATAAACCGTTCAAGATATCTTTCTGAAACTTTGCATACACATCAACCTATTACAGTAGTTGTGCCTTTTGCTATTTAGGAATTTCTGGGATTTATATTTTTTGTGTTTCCATGGAAACAAATTTGACTTAATTTTTGGTGTAGAATTTTGTTTCCGGAGCATATCTCATAATATCTTTCAAGATATCTTTCTGAAACTTTGTACACACACCAACCTATTACAGTAGTTGTGCCTTTTGGGATTTATATTTTTTGTGTTTCCGTGGAAAGAAATTTGACTTAGTTTTTGGTGTAGAATTTTGTTTCCGGAGCATGAATTTTGTTTCCGGAGCATATCTCATAAATCGTTCAAGATATCTTCTTGGCACTTGTAAAAACATCAGTCTGTGATAGTTGTGCGTTTTGCTATTTATCATGTTCTGGGAGTTATATTTTTCGTGTTTCCATGCAAACAAATTTGACTTAGTTTTTGGTTTTTGGTGTTCAAATTTGTTTACAGAGCATATCTCATAAACCATTCAAGAAATCTTCAGGAAACTTTCTACAAACATTAACCTATTATCTTAGTTGTGCCTTTTGCTAATTTGGAATTTCTGCGATTTAATCAGTTTTGTGTTTCCATGGAAACAAATTTGACTTAGTTTTTATGCACAATTTTGTTTCCGGAGCATTTCTCATAAATCATTCAAAATATCTTTTTGAAACTTTGAACACACATCATCCTATTACAGTAGTTGTGCCTTTTGCTAATTAGAAATTTTTGCGTTGCCATGGAAAAAAAATTCTCTGAATGATTTTTACTACACATTTGACTTATGTTTTGGTATATAATTATTATTCTAGAGCATATCTCAGAAACTGTTCAAGATACCTTTATAATACTTTTACATTCATCAATCTATATTTTATTTTCTGATAACTGTTCCTTCCGTTCCGATTTCATTTCCGAAGTATATTTCTTTATCCGTCAAAGAAATCTTTTTGTAACTTTGTACAAACATCAACCTATTATAGTATTTAATTTTCCGATGTATAAGCTTAATGTTTAACATACAGCAGCTGATTGAGGTAGGCAAAGGTGGTTGTGCAAACCTAACAGGGACTAGCAACTGTGCCTTGCCGAGCTACTATGATCAGAGTATGAATCTTCTGACTAGTCCAATTGATATTCCAAGAAGTTGTTTTTATATGCCCACATTGAAATGTGGCCGTATATTGTCGTCGCCCCCGTCCGTCCGGCGGTCTGTCGGTCCGGCATCCACAATTGCTTGTGGACGCTCTAGAGGCTAAAGTTAATATCTGATTTATACACAGTGTTTAAGGTCTTGAGAAGTAGAAGCCTATTGATTTTCAGCGATTCCCGATAATTACTGCCAGAGTTATGGCCCTTGATCACTTTGAAAAATCTTGTGGACGCTCTAGAGGCCAAAGTTAATATCCAATTGACCTTAAATTTATACACAGTGTTTGAGGTCATGAGACGAAGAAGCCTATTGATTTTCAACGATTTCCGATAATTACTGCCAGAGTTATGGCCCTTGATCACTTCAAAAAATCTTGTGGACGCTCTAAAGGCCAAAATTGATATCCGATTGAGTTTAAATTTATACACAGTGTTTGAGGTCATGAGACGAAGATTCCTATTGATTTTCAACGATTTCCGATAATAACTGCCAAAGTTATGGCCCTTAAGTTATCATCCGATTGACTTCAGATTGATACACAAAGTTTAAGATCTTGAGACGAACAAGTATATTGATTTTCAATGAATTTTTATGACTTGAACAGTTAAATCCATGATATTAAAAGCTTTGCATACAAAACGTTAGCATGGGGCAGAACTTTATAAAAACCAAACAAATTCTAATAGTTTTCTGATAATTACTTTGTGAGTTGTTGCTCATAATCAGATTTTAGTGAATTATAAATGTTTCATTACCGAAAAAAGTAAAAATATGCGACAACCCTTGTTGACTGCCCAGACGATTTAGTTGCTGTGGGCGTATGTTTCGTTGCCTGGCAACCTATCTTTCCTTATGCCTTCCAAACAAGTTCAAGGGCCCGGAATGGTGATGTTTTGTATTGGAGCAAATTGTCTAAAATACATGATATACTAATTTCTTTCATATTCGTTCAATATTTATATCAAAATTTGTAATAATCATTTAAAATCACCAAAATTCATCTAATTTGTACTTGTGGCCAGTTTAAATCTGACCATTCAAAAAATTCAACCCAATCAATTTTAAAACAGTGGTCAGAAAATTAAATACTTGTAAATTGGACACTCATTACCAAAATTAATCAGTCAGCTTTAAACTGGACACAATTACAAATTAGATGATATTGGGTGATTTAAAATGATTTTTACGAATTTTTATACAAAGATTTGATATTAAATGAATGTAAAAGAAATTAGTGGTAGATGCACAAGATTAAATGATACCTGGGTTACAGTGATAACAGTCCTAGTTTAAGATGTTGTACATCTTTATATTCTTTTAAAAAACAACTTAAAACACATTTATTTAATCAGGCTTTTAACTGACTCTGTATACAATCATTAACATGTCCATAATCTTGTTGTTTATTTATGATTACATTGTTACTTTGTAAAGTGCCCCTGAACATGTTATATGAAAGGGCGCTCTATAAATATGCTGTAATAATAATAATAAATGATAATTTGACATGTTATTTACATAAATGACGCCACAGTCCTACAATCTGTATCATCTGATATCTTATTTACAGGTAATGAAGATGACATATCAGATAATGAATCTGAGTTAGATGATGATCTCAATAAACCACTAGATAGATCGGATTCAGATGATGATGATGATGCTCTACCTGTGTTTCTATGGAAACCACCAAAAACTACAGCCAGATTAGGGGAATGGGAAGAACATACAAAGGTAATATGCCAAATAAACCATTTTGAATCGAGTCAAAATAAAGTGTTAAATTGGCTTGATATTAGGTGTTAAGTCTATTTGTAATAAGGGTCGCCTGTCCAACCCCATGGCTTTTCTCTGGGTCCTCCGGTTTCCTCCCACTGCTAAAGACCCCTACGCGCAAGCGAATCATTGAAATAGAATTAAAACCATATGTTAGTCCCGAAATGACCTAGTTTGTGTCGAGTGGACGTTAAACCCCATTTCTCTCTCTCTATTTGTAATAGTTAATTCATGCTATGCAGAGTCTATTTAGTTTTGGGGGTCACGGTTGCTAAGTGGGTAAGACTGGCTCGCTAGTCTGGAGGTCGGATGTTGGATCCCTGCATTGACCGAGAAAGTTCATATCCAGATTTACCGGCGTGGTTGCCTCTTGTCAGTGATGCAGGACGGAGGACCTGACAAGGACACCTGTCTAGTCATTTGGATGGGATGAAAAACCGAGGTCCTGTGTACACATTGGTGTGCACGTAAAAGATCCCTTGACAGTTGGAATTAGATATAAGAGTAGGCCGTAGTGCCGCTGTCTAGGCAAACTTTTCCTCATAGCACACTGTATGGCGTATGCCCGTCTTCATTAGCCCAGTTTGGAGCAGAACAGTAGAACGTTAAACTCCATTTCATTTCATCTCATTTCTATTTAGTTTTAGCATACATACAGCACAGGGCTGATTTTACTATAGTACTGGTAAAAATAACATTTCTTAACTGCCGTAGCGAGCAAATGATTTTTTTATTAAGAATATTTGATAATATATTATGTTTTCAGGGTATTGGGTCTAAGTTAATGATTAAAATGGGATATATTATTGGACAAGGATTGGGTAAAAATGGTGATGGTAAAGCAGAACCTGTTCCAATACAATTAATACCAAAAGGTAAGTTTTATCATCATACAGGGGGGATGGATGACCGAATGGTAAGCACGCGTGCTGTATCATACGGTCTGTCATTGAGTCAACTGGCGGGGTTTCGATTCCCCGGTTGTACGTGGCAAGGAGTAGAGTCGTCTGTCCATCCTAGTGGGTTTTCTCCGGGTCCTCCAGTTTCCTCCCACTGCTAAAGACCCCTAAGTGCAAGTGAATGATTGAAATAAAATTGAACCATGTATTAGTCCCGAAATGACCTAGTTTGTGTCGAGTGGACGTTAAACCCCATTTCTCTCTCTCTTTTATCATCATACAACTAGTTTTTATTTAAATTCATCCTATAACCACACTTAAGTATGTGTGAGGGGCTCCAGGTGTTCAGATGAGACAAAAAAACCACGAAGTCCTGTGTACACGTGTGTGCATGTAAAAGATCCCTTGACAATTCGATATAAGAGTAGGCTATAGTGCCGCCGCCCGGGCAAAATTTTCCTCATAGCACACTGTATGGCGTATGCCGGTCTTCATTACCCCAGTCAGAGCAGAACAGTAGGACGTTAAACCCCATTTCATTTCATTAATATATTTTGTATTCTGTTGATATCTTTTCAAGCAGTTTTTCTCTGTGTTTCCTCTTCTAACCAGGGGGGGTGGATGGCTGAAGGGTTAGGGCGTGTGCTGTATCATTATGTCTGTCATTGAGTTAACTGGCATGGTTTCAATTCCCATGACAAGGAATAGGGTCGCCTGTCCAACCTTGTGGGTTTTCACCGGGTCCTCATGTTTCCCCCCCCACTGCTAAAGACCCCTACGCACAAGCAAATTATTGAAATAAAATTGAACCATATGTCAGTCCCGAAATGACCTATGTTTAATATATTTTATGTTCAGGTAAATCTCTAGATAAGATAATGGAGTTGAAGGAGTTAGCTGGAGATCAAGATTTATTTGATGCTATGAAGAAATTAAAGAAAAAAAACAAGAAAACTGAAGATAAAAATAAACAACCTAAACAAACCTCTCAACCTACAGACATGTTTGATTTTATAAATAAAAAACTTCGAGGTAAAAAAGGTGAGAGGAATTGTTTTTTTTTAAAATTATCTAACAGATGTCGTCTACCGTCTTGGGTGGCGGGGGTTGGTTGGATGGCTGAATGGTTAGCGTGTACGCGCTGTATCATAAGGTCTGTCATTGAGTCAACTGGCGTTGTTTCAATTCCCCGGTTGTATGTAACAAGGAGTCCAACCTTGTGGGGTTTTTTTCTGGGTCCTTTGGTGGTTTCCTCCCACTGCTAAAGACCCCTATGTGCAAGCGAAGTATTGAAATCAAATTAAACCATATGTTAGTCCCGAAATGACCTAGTTTGTGTCGCGCGGACGTTTAACCCCATTTCTCTCTCTACCGTCTTATTTCCCCCAGTAATTCTGTTGTCATGTGGAAACCACTGTGTCTCATTGAGTATAGCGCTGGCTTACTTATCAGGAGGTCCTTCTGTTGACTGAGATGGTTCCTGAGTAATTAAGGCCTGGTTTCTCTGTTCTGTTTGTCTCCGATATCACTTCGGTAGAAGGGAAGCAACGTTAAATAGAGCTGTTTCACACACATGGTGCAGGCCCTGGCATGGAAGACGTGTTGAGGCGTTCTTACGGATATGGGACGAAAAACTAAAGTCCATTCATACACTCGTTGGCTTGCATGTAAAAGAAGCCTTGCCAGTTCAAATTCCTATATTAAATAGAGCTATTTCACACACATGTTGTGAGTAGCACAGGACATAGGGCCTGGCAAGGAAAAAAGGAAAAAGTGTCCAAGACATTCTTATGGGACGAAAAGCTAATGTTCAATCATATACATGTTGGCTTGCATGTAAAAGAAGCCTCGCCGGTTGAAATTATATGATGAAATGGGGGAAATGCAGGTTTCTAGGCAATTTTTCCTCACAGCACACTGCATGGCATATGCTCCTTTTCATTGGTCCTGTTAGTGCAAGGGGGTAGATAGCCAAATAGTTCACGTGTGCGCGTTGTATCATAAGGTCTGTCATTCAATCAACAGACATGACATGGAGTTGGGTCACCTGTCAAACCTCGTGGGTTTTCACCGGGTTGTATCATTAGGTCTGTCATTGAGTCAACTGAAGTGGTTTCGATCCCCCGGTTGTACATGACGAGGAGTAGGGTCGCCTGTCCAACCTTGTTGGTTTTCTATGGGTCCTTTGGTTTCCTCCCACTGCTAAAGACCCCTACGCACAGGCGAATTATTGAAATTTAATTAAACCATGTTAGTCCCGAAATGACCTGGTTTGTGTCGTACGGATGTTAAACCCCATTCCTCTCTCACCTCTGTTGTTAGTGCAAATATGAAGGTCGTTGAGCCCAAATTTCATTTCTGTATTCATGCAAGATTTGTAAGCTTTTACCCATATTTTTGTGGTGGTCTGTATGTATAAACTCAATGGACGTAAATGCAAACCTGTAACTGACATACTGCCAACATATCTGACTGTAATCTTGCAATTAAATGCTTGATACTTCATTTAGCACGACAGGAATCCCTGATAGGAATATCAGCCCCCAAAATGTTTCAACTCCGTTTATTATTTACAAAGTTATGATAAATTCGCTATTTAACAAGATACTGCCATCTTTTAATGGTAGCCGAGAAACCTGATGGGGTTAGTTTAATTCTGATTGTATCTAAGCCAGAAAATTATCTAATGTTGGTATTTTGATTTTGTCTTAATTAACTAAAATTGATATATGATAAAGAATCCTATTTAATTTCAATAATTACTGTTAATTGCTTCTAGAGTTATGACCCTGGGGCCCGTTTCACCAAATTTTAACTAAGATAAAATCCAAATTTTATTAATTTGATTGGATAATATTAGATTGATTTTAGTGCTTAGCCAATCAAAAAGTGAAGCATCTACTAAAATTTGGATTTTATCTTTAGTTAAAATTTTGTAAAACAGACCCTTGGTTTCACTTTGTTGCACCTTGTGAATGCTTTAACATCAAAAGTTATCTGCTGATCTTTGTGAAATTTATATGCTCATTTAAATTAGTGAAACATAGAATCCTATTGAATTTCAGCAATTTCTTTTAATTGCTTTTAGAGTTATGGCCCTTGTTTCAGTTTGTTGTACCTTGTGAACGCACTAACATGAAAAGTTATCTGCCGAGCTATATGAAATTTATATGCGTCATTTAAGTTAGTAAAAAGAGGAATCCTATTGAATTTCAGCAATTTCCATTTATTACGTCTAGAGTTATGGCCCTTGTTTCACTTTGTTTCACCATGCCAAAAGTTATCCGATCTGTAGGAATTTATATGCTTCATTTAAATTAGTAAAAAGAAGAATTCTATGGCCCTTGTTTCACTTTGAACCTTGTGAACACTCTAACGCCAAATTTTATCATCCAATCTGTATGAAATTTCTAGGCATCATTTAGATTAGGGAAACCACAAAGCCTATTGAATATCAGCAAGTTAGAGTTATGGCCCTTGTTTTACTTTGTGAACCTTGTGAACATTCAAATGACAAAAGTTATCATCTGATCTGTATGAAATTTATATGCATCATGTAAATTAGTAAAATGAAAAAGTCTGTCAAATTTCAAAATATCCTGTAAATTACTTGTGAACCCTCAAACGACAAAAATTATAATTTAATCTGTATGAAATTGTCTTGTAAATGCCCCCAATTACCTACAAAAGAATAAATATGCGACAACCCTTGTCGATAGCTCGGACGATTTAGCTTCTGTGGGCGTATGTTTCGTTGCCTGGCAACCTAAGTTAAAAGTGCATTTTGAAAAGTTATATTTCACAAACAATCTTGTAAAGTGGCACAATTTACATTGCACAAATTTATTGTGTTACAAGGAAGCAAGCATTAAAATAAATTAGTTTCCTTTCGCCAACTATAATTTGCATGATCTTTGTGGTTTAATGGTCGAGAGCAAGACATTAAGTACAGTAGAATCTGCATTAAGCAGCCACCCAAGGGAATTTTCACAACTGACCGCTTAACGGGAGTGGCCTCTTAATAAAATCTCGTTGCTTTTTGTGCCGACATAAATTAAATATTACGCTTGGATGCATTGGAAGCGGTAAATTTGGCCGTCGCTGAATCTTGCGCCGAACGAAAATTCTTTACTCAAATCTCGGACATAACTTAACGGGAGTGGCCTCTTAATAAAATCTCGCTGCTTTTTGTGCCGACATAAATTAAATATTACGCTTGGATGCATTGGAAGCGGTAAATTTGGCCGTCGCTGAATCTTGCGCCGGACGCAAATTCTTTACTCAAATCTCGGACATAACTTCTGTAAACTTGTCATTTTGTACCAACCTTTGAAACTACTGTCTACCATTGTGATGCATGCGATAATATTTATCCATTTTTGTGAAGAAAATCGATGAATTCATTTTATTTTATCAAAAAAGCACATGAACAAAAAACATCGCTAATTTTATCACCTATTTACAGGGGGTGTAACTCTGTATGTAATATTATAGGAGGCGCTAAGAGAGATACTAGATGATCGTGACAAAACTCGGTACTTTTATTTTATTCAATCAGTATCAAATAATGTGTCGTTACGCGTGAAAACAATGATCAGGTTAGTCGTTTAATAAAACAAAAGATTAATTAACAGATAATCCTGGGTTGATTGTTATGTTTACATTTCTTTTTACCTGATCAGTGGGGGTCCAGTTAATTAACTACTACTCACGGGATTAGCGGGGGTGTTACAAAGAACGACAAGATGGTATCATTCAACAATGGCTGTTGAATGGGCGATGTTTTGTTGAATTTATTAGTAAAATAGTGACCGCTGGCCACGTTAGAGGAGTGACCGTTGAATAAAAAGATGAAACAACAGAATTTCTACGGGGGGAATTTATCGTGACCGCTTACAAGGAGATGTCGCGGAATAGGAGTGGCTGCTCATACAGATTCTACTGTAATATATTGAAACAACACGAGGGACATCAGTCACAAATTGTTGTTTCAATATATTACGCAATGTCTTAAGCTCGAAACCATTAAACAAATTAAAATACAGACAATCGCACATGCTTTGCAATGAAATACGTCACTTGGGCTCAATATTTTAACAAGTTACGCTTGGCACATTGCCCGTATGATTATTTGATATAATGGTACGCCAACATCAAAGGATGAGGGCACATCTGTATTTTAAATACATTTGAAATAAAGAAATAAGCAAAGTTCATCTTTTGTAAATGAATATGTGATTAAAGTGTCACATTATTATGAAAAAAAAAATATGGGTTGTAAAATAAGAGCTTTGCATTCTTGGAACACATTGATATATAAATTTTACAGGTAAATGCGTAATTATCTTGAATTGTTTGTAATCGGTCGTAAGAAATTTTGACTCTAAAAATCTGTGTGAAGCTGCTCATAATTAATCTAAAAATAAATCTTAAAAAGAAAATCAGTTCTGTATTTTTGTGTAACTTTTTCACACCATTATTATAAATGTTATTAAACATACATTATGCAAGAGCTAAATCTGCCTATTGCAGGTCTTTCTTTAGGCCTGAAATGTTATCTAAATTATTAATTAGACATTAATTAACTTATCCAGACCATAATCAACTCTCGATGCCATCACTAGCCAGTGTTATTTAGCGGATTGGAATACATTTTTAGAAAAATAATTAAACATAAAAATGGATAATCGAGACTTTGTTTTTTTATCGTACCGACTTTAGTAATGATGATCAAAGTTATACTATAATTCAAAAGCCAATATCTTGGTTCAGAGTGGGGCAATTCGACTGAAATTTTCAACATACATGTATTCTATTTACGTTATCTATTTTTTAACTAGTATAGCGATAACTGTCAACTCTTTATTTAATCTCCCATAATGCCTCTAAGTGTTTGATATAAGCACAATTGTTTTATGAAGAGCCGTTAAACTATCAGAGCTCTGTCACTTTGTCATCGGAATTCATTTCCTTTTTATAATTATTGTTAGAAGAAAAAGAACGCCATCTTTGTGTCTTCTTTCGAACACTTGCTCTCATTAGTTGAAGTTTAGTCCGTGTGAGCCCACTACTGCGAGAATTTGATTGTGTTTTCTCAGTAGTAAGGTTCTCAGTTTCCGCCTTTTCATTTTCCTGAGAGTCTTCATTATTATCATCTTCAATTACAAATTCTGTACTAGATCTTGAAGAAAGGCTTCGACGTTTTGAATCTTTTGTACGAAAAATACCGGACCATCTTTTTTCTTTCTTCTCTTTGGGTTTATTTCGAAGGATAACCCCATCTGGTGGTGACGCTTGATCAGCTTTTGAAGCATCCAGATTTTGATCAGGTTTGAAATGTTGTCGTATTTGACTAAATCGATTCTTTAACTGTTTCATACGACTTTGTTTATTAATGGCAGTTGGTTGTTCTACAATCTCTTCGACAGCAGCCTCGTATTCGAAAGTTATCGTATCATTTGATTTTGGACTGATGTACCCGTCATTCTGCATTAAAACTTCTTTACGCCTTTTCCAACTTTCACGCAAGTTTTGCATGCGCTTTATTTTATCTTCTCTGTCTTCATGCGACAGGTGGGCCATCTGGCGTGAAATTTCGTTTCGTTCCATGATATCTCGTGAAGTTGCGTTGGGCGGAAGAGCTTGAGTGAATGATGGAATTTGTGCCTGGTGCTCAAATTCAGGATTATCAAGATAGTAGTTTGTTGCATTTCCACCCAAGGACACAACACGTTTCCGATTTGATAATGATGCTATGGGTACCTCAGTTTGGAAGGGTTTATCTGTAAAAGGATGTGTGTCCATTGTATTGGAATTTCCTTCCAAAAGTTGTCTGCGTCTTTGTTTGAATGATTCCCGCATGGTACGAAATTGATCGACAGTTACAGAAGCATCACTAAAACTTACGTCGGCCTCGTTTTCTGATTCGCTTACTCTAGTGCTTTGACGCTTGACGCGCCTGGAAATTGGCGGACTGGTAGAGTAAGTTAAAAGACGTTCGTTAAAAATAGATTGATTAAAAGATGTATTTTCAGCACTTAAATCTCTTTCCATTTCTAAAGATCCAGGAATGAAGACGACCGAAGATTGTTCTAAATTGTTCAATTGGCCGAAGTTAGCTGACATGAGTACGTCAGGAGATTCTGTAGGTGTTTCCAGTTGTAACTCTTGCCATTTCATCTGAACCTCGGATATATTCACAGAACAGAACATTAGACGATCTTTGAGTGCCACCATTTCTTCATCCGTCGCATATTCCTGTACCTGTTTCAAAAATTCAACGGTTTGTAAAATTCCCTTCAAGTTTTGTCGCAAAGTTTGTTTCGATCTTTCTGCATCTTTCATCATTTTTTCCTCATGATATCGACTATCGACTTCAGCAAGCAGACGTTTCTCGTGTCGTCTAATTTGATGTTGTAATATATTGGACCTTTCTTCCACCTTACGTTTTAACCGATATCTTTTTTCTCGCCAATTATTTACAGATTGGTTTATGGAGTCGATAGCATAAGTTACTCGGAGTGCTTCCCCTTGAAGAGCCATTAACTTATGGTCCATGTGACTGGATAATTTATCAACCATGATATGTAGAGTGTCTTCTGCAGAAGCGTGACTCTGTACCAAATCGGGTTGTGCCGAAATTATACTTGAAGGGTTGCCATTTTTGTCCGTTGTAGCAGACGACATTTTTATGTCTCTGTTACCAGGAGAACTGAATGTATCTCTCCGTTGTAGCGAAAACAGGGATAGACTACTTGGTGAATATTTGGCCTTTTCCATCAATGTTGAAACGGTTTCTTGATCTGTGTTGGGGTCTCCAGTATTCTCATTGCTGGCGAATTCTTGTATTTTGTTGATGTACTGTTTTACAACTCGTTCCGCAAATATATTGGTTGTTAAAACACTAATGCCCCCTGTTGGAGAATTCATGAAATATCCGCACAAAGTACAAGTAATTTTGTCCGTTTCATTTAGTTGAGTTTGAAGACAAGTGTGGCAGTAGGTGTGAAGACAAGGCAGGAGTTTCGGATCTGTAAAGACTTTTTGACATAACTTACAAAAGAGAAGATTGATTGGTAGACCATAGCTCGCCATGTTGGATAATTGTATTACTTCTGTAACCGAAAGCCTGGTTTTTGACGAGGAGGGAAACGAAAATACTTCGCACATCTGAAAAGAGAAAGAAAATTTATTCAGAATTTGTTAGAGGCTGCCATTATTTTGTAACGTCACTGGACATTTTATGAACGTCAAAGACTCTTCATATTGACTGACTCAACATTTTGTGCAGACATTAGAGTCTGAAATTTAATAAAAGTTTACTGTTTAAGATCTTTTATAAACTAATTCAGTGATTGTAATTTGTTTTTGAACTAATAGTACTATTAATTGTACACATGCAGTACAAACTTTAGATTTTTAATCCCTTGGGACTATGTGTCACTAGGGGGGTTGGATGGCTGATTGGTTAGCGCATGCGTGTTCAATCATAAGGTGTGTCATTGAGTCAACTGGTGTGGTTTCGATTCCCCAACTGTACGTAACAAGGAGTAGGGTTGCCTGTCCAACCTTTTGGGTTTTCTTCGGGTCCTCCGGCTTCCTCCCACTGCTAAAGAAGGTGTGTCATTGAGTCAACTGGTGTGGTTTCGATTCCCCAACTGTACGTGACAAGGAGTAGGGTTGCCTGTCCAACCTTTTGGGTTTTCTTCGGGTCCTCCGGCTTCCTCCCACTGCTAAAGACCTCTACGTTCACACAAATTATTGAAATAAAATTGAACCATATGTTATTCCCGAAATGACCTAGTTTTGGTCGAGTGGAAGTTAAACTCTCTCTCTCTCTCTCTCTCTCTCTCACTCTCAAGTAATGTTGCTATGGTCTCTGTACAGTCCTGCTTAAAATCACATTTCAGCTGCATTATGCCTCACTAGCACTTTTCAGTCAGTCAAATCAGTATATAATCAACCCTTTACACACATATATATCACCTGTCATATAGACGTTGTCAAGCACAAATTATCAGGTACAACATATATTTTTTAAAAATTACAAACTTTGAGCTAGTAAACATTGAATTACCAGTATACAGCAATTTTTTGTTCAGGTATTTTGATCTGTGTTTTATGGTGACCACACCTTTATTTTCACCCCAGGTGTTGAAGATACAGAGGTGCGATTATAATAGACTTGTGAAAGATAAATATTAAATTACTTAACACTAACTTTTGAAACATTGCACTTACAAAATGTGGAGACTAAATCAGGCTAATGATCCATTATAAACCTTTTATAAAGTTAACCGGGACTTAAGATACATTTTAACTCATTTGACCTTAATAAAGAAACATGAACCATGGGTCATGTAGCATACAAATTCTAGCAAATACTGTAAAATTAATTAACCAATTTAGTAAAGACAGAAGTTCAGTTTTAATTTAGAAAAACATTCAGCCTTTTTAGCCCTTTTCTAACATTTACATGTATGTGCATTCAACTATGAAGGGTAATGTGTACACGTACCTATTTTCACAAAATTTGCCATATTTTCTGTTTTTATAATCTAATATAGATGAGTTGTACTCCGTAATTTATAGATCTTGCTACTGGTATACAAGTTTATATCTCTCCTTACTATCCTTTGCTCCATTATCAATATAGTTCATATATAAACTTGTATAACTACATTTATAGGTGATTTCTCCACAACAAAACCCTTAGATTTTATCAGTTTTGAACTTTTCAATACCTTCTTTATTTCAATGTGTTTACTGTGCTGTAAACTCTTTCTTTTCGAATTCTTTCTCATTGATAAATTCATTGACTGGCAAGTCAACCTTTTATAATGAAATCTTTTTCACGACCGGCATGACAATCTTATATATACAACACTGTTTAGAAATCTTAAGTATTGATTAAATTTATTGAAATATGAATAAGATAAAACTATTTGACATTTCCAATAATTTACATGTAGCTTTGACATATTTTAAGAGGTTTACACCATTTTCTACCTGTTTAATCAGTGAAGCATGGTAAGTAAATCTTATCAAATATGGAAATTTTAACAGGTAAACTGTCAGTGTTACTCGTATTGAGACATATTTTATTAGTAACGATTGTTAACTTTCATACAACATGTAGAAGATAGTTAAATAATGGGATGTAAGAGTAAGCTTACTCGTTGATATCTATAATTAATTATCAAAAAGTTGGTCATTAATATTAATAATACATGTGTTCTTAATCGGGGTGTTGGATGACAGAATGGTTAGCGCATGCACGCTGTATCATAAGGTCTGTCTTTGAGTCAGCTGGCATGGTTTAGATTCCCCGGTTGTACTTGACAAGGGGTAGAGTCGCCTGTCCAACCTCATGGGTTTTCTCCAGGTCCTCCTGTTCCTCCTACTGCTAAAGACCCCTACGCAAGCAATTATTGAAATAAAATTGAACCATATGTTAGTCCTGAAAAGACCTAGTTTGTGTCAAGTGGACATTAAACCCCATTTCTCTCTCTCAGCTTTTTGGTGCAGTAGTCTCAATCAATTGATACCTTTAAGACCAATGTTTCCACACCCTATAGTCATTGAAGGGCCTGACGAGGACAGCTGTCTAGTCGTTTGGATGGTACGAAAAACTGATATCCCGTGAACACATTGGCGTGCACATAAAAAGATCTCCTGGCAGTTGGAATTTGATATAAGAATAGGCCATAGTGCCGCTGCCCGAGGAAAATTTCCATCATAGCACACTCTATAGCGTATGCCCGTCTTCATTAGCCCAGTTCGGAGCAGAACAGTAGGACGTTAAACCCCATTTCACTACAGTTCATTTATATTCATTGAGAACATAGATAATATTGTTCTGTTATAACGGAGACTAGAACAAGGAGTGTGTAAAATAATAGTGGTGTTTATTTTTGTTGGCCATCTTGCCTAACAACATTCAAATGTATCTATGTTATAAATTTCAATAAAGACTTTTGAAGAGTTCTTATCTATTGCACTTAAAGGTCACCGGAAAAGCATCATAAATTTTTTAAATAATGCAAGTAATTATTTCAACATATCCTTTCTATAAGTAAAACACGAACCCGAATGTCAATATTACCTGCAACAGGTAAATTTCACCGCTAGTAATTTCTGCTGTTCTCCGTGAGTAGTCGTAACTTTCTGTCAGTAAACAATCTGTGACGGAGAACGGTGGAAATTACTAATGTTGAAATTTGATCTAATTAATATGGACATGCCAGATAATGAAAATGCCAGATATATGATCTAATATGAATATGAATATGCTAAATTATATTTGCATGTATATGTTACATATTTAAATTTAAAAAGAAACCACTCACATACATATAGAATAAACAATATATAATTTTGTTATTTTAATATCCAATTTCGGTAATGCAATAGTTAAAAGAAGGGCGAATAAATGTATGAGTGGGGTAGATATAAATCAGCATTTAAAAAAACGATGCTGTATCTTTGTGTAGCTGTAGGAAACAAATGAAAACAATTATGAGATGATCATCGCCTCAGGGCTGAATTTGATATTTTGATAGCCAATATATGAGCTTGTTTTTATGTCGTAAAATGAGTGTTTTATCTCTAGTAAACCATCTAATAATTTATATTATGGGGCTTCATGTTTATAAAATTGTGTGGGAGCCATAAAAAGCTCCTGATACCTTGAATATATGCAGTTAAAAAGTAAACAAAAACTGAAAGTAGTTTAATATTTCAATATTTAGGAGAGCGATTTATCTAATTTGCAGGAGTCTTTAATGACTCCTTCGAAGGAAAGCCGACGTGCGTCGAGAGGAGCAGGAACAAAAGCTCCCCTTAAATGTAAGGACTGTATTATCAAACTTTAATTTAACCAGTAACAGGCCTACATGTTTATGATTTATGTGTGTGTGTGTGTGAAACAGCTTTATTTGTCGCCATCTTCCACCTATCTGATATCGCGGACAAAAGATGATTCATTTGAATAATTTATATTATATTTATCCAATAACAGACCTACATGTTAAATGATTTATATGACTAATTTCATTATATAATGTTTGTAGCTTAGTGTGGGTGTATATGATTTAAGGTAACAGGATCTACTTGAAAAGATGTATATCAAAATAACAAGTTGAATTGTTTAATTTCACAAATTAAGCTTTACACAATCATTTTTTTTTTTACAGTCATCGTTAAGTCATTATTTCATATGTTTATTAATATTAGTGTCCAATCTGATTAAAACACAGATCCTATTTTGTTTCGTTTTTATAGTTCAAAATTTCATTTTATTTGTCATTACTACACTAGGATCTGGAAGAGTTATTATTAGCCAATGAAACGGTCTGTTACTGCGAGTTTTTGGTGTGAGATGCACGGAACTGTGGCTAACCCACTACAAAAATCAACACTAGTTGGTTAATCAAATGTCTGATGTCATAGGGTCAAGAGCTGCTTGTATGACCCCTGACGCGACCTTTCGCTACTATACTATATTCAGTTTGAGGGGGGGGTGGTGAATGGCCGAATGGTGTGCACGTGCGTGCGTGCTGTATCATAAGGCCATTTATTGAGTCAACCGGCGTGGTTTCGAATCCCCGATTGTACGTAACAAGGAGTAGGGTCGCCTGTTCAACCTTATGGGTTTTCTCCGGGTCATCTGGTTTCCTCCCACTGCTAAAGACCCCTACGCGCAAGCAAATTATTGAAATAAAATTGAACCATATGTTAGTCACTATATTCAGTTTGTACTTTACTACTACAACTACTTTGATACAATACAATATAGGTTATATAGACATAAATCTTACTTTACTGTAGATGTTCAAATATTTATCATTACAATAAGCCAATGGACATTAATGACAGCCTATTAACCGGACGTTAATGGCTTTTATATAGTAAAAATCCTGTTCTCACGTTATACATGTTTTGATCAGACTGTTCAAGTTTGTTTTCAGTAAGGTATTAATGTATTGTATTGTGCTATTGTATACGGCATGCGTCTCTTTATAGAGTTATACATGTATTTGTACCGTTTGACTCAATAACAGATGAATTCTTTTATAGTCAAAACTAATAGGATCACTTGGACAAACTTTAAAGGTACTGTTTGATCAAAATGAGATATTGATTTTCAAAACATTCTTTTTTGTTGATTAGAGGGGTTGGATGGCTGAATGGGTAGCGTGTGCGTGCTGTATCATGAAGTCTGTCATTGAGACAACTGGTGTGACCAGTTTCGATTCCCCAGTTGTACGTGACAAGGAGTAGGGTCGCTTGTCCAACCTTGTGAGTTTTCTCCCGGTCCTCTGGTTTCCTCCCACTGCTACAGACCCCTACGTGCAAGTGAATTATTGAAATAATATTGAACCATGTGTTAGTCCCAAAATGACCTAGTTTGTGTTGAGTGGGTGTTAGTTTAACTCCATTTCTCTCTCTCTCTCTCTCACAAAAGATTCTTTTTTGTTGATTAAACAAAATATTGCAGACACCAAGTTTAATGTAAAACACCAAGTTTAATGTAAAACATATTCAACATTTAACATTGAGAAGCGCTTTTATTGAGATTAGATGCAATCTGATTGAAATAAAGATCTATATTTCGTTTTGTTTTTTTGTATTTTCGACCACCTACACTACTTGAAGATCTGACAAGTTGTAGTGGAAGGTCGCGTCCTATGATTAATCAATCAATCAGCATTGACGTTCCTAGTGGTTTATCCACAGTTCCGTGCATGGCACGCCCAGAAGTTGCTGTAAGAGACCGTTTCATTGGCTCACTCACTTCAACCAAAATGCCAGTAATATAAGACCTCTTCCAGATCCTAGTGTAGTAAAGACAAGTAAAACGAAATTTTGAATATAAAAAACGAAACGAAATAGGATCTGTGTTATAATCATATTGGTTTAGATGCACAGCTCTATTTTTTTCGTGGGTAATCCGCTGGCTCGCTAGCCTGGAGGTCGGGTGTTAGATCCCTGCATTGGCCGAGAAAGTTCATCTTGATTTTCCGGCGTGGTTTCCCCTTGTCAGTGATGCAGAACAGAGGGCCTGACAAGGACAGCTGCCTAGTGGTTCGGATGGAACGAAAAACCGAGGTCCTGTGTACACATTGGCGTGCACGTAAAAGATCCCTTGGCAGTTATAAGAGTAGACCGTAGCGCCGCTGCCCGGGCAAAATTTCCCTCATAGCACACTGTATGGCGTATGCCCGTCCTCAATTAGCTCAGGTTAGGTGCAGAAGCGTAGGACGTTAAACCCCATTTCATTTCATTTCATTTTGTTCTAAAATAGACATTCATCACGCCATATTGTTGAAATGTCAGACTTTGTATATGAAGCGTTTAGTGTCACTTTAATAATAAAAAAAAAAGCACAGTAACTGCGTGTTATATTCTTCATAGGTAAACGTGCTTGTTGAATGAATATCTTCTATCAAAAATAAAATGTTTTTAATAAATTTAGAAAAGCACTGAGGTTTTCAAAAGAGATTATATGGTGAACATTATTTGCAGAGTTCGTCTTTAGTACTAGTCAGTTTTTATGGTTAATATTGTCTCGTTATATTTGATCTGGTTATTGTGGGTTTATTCTGATGTATTATGTATGTACTATTTCAATCATGCATGTGCATATTTAGTCAAAGTAATAAAAGTTTCCGCAAGCGTAGCTATATTTTATGAGAAAATAAAATTGTATGCCTGTCAGTGATTTTGCCTATCTGATTTAAGATACAGATCTGTATTATTATATTTTACATATACTTTAAATGGATGCTCTAGTGGCTAAAGTTAATATAA